TAATTTAGAATTATATCAAAGAAGTGTATAATATAAAAAAAACCCAATTGTGTAATTTGATGGCCAAAATAATGATGGTAGTGTGATTTACAACTAAAAAAGAGCAATCTGAAATCACAACAGAAAAAAATAGAAATTATTTGAAAAAATTAAAAATCGAAAATTGTAGTAAAATTTTTGCAGGTTTTCAGGAACTAAAATCAGTGGTCTTTTGCAGTGACTATTGATCAATCTCAATAGACTTGACTCTATATACTTAAATAATCAAGCAAGTAAAATATCAACAGCATTAAATATTAAGAGAACTTGTTGTCAAAAAATAAGATGAAAAAAATTCTATATTTATTAAATACAAGTATTGCAATATTTATAGTTTTGCAATTGACTTGTTGAAGAATTAAATAAATAAAATTATAAAAAAAATATAATAAAAGTTGTATAATTCACAATCCATTAAATGTGATTTGTTCTTTATTATTATTAAGTACAAATAAAATTAAATAATTATTAAGTCATAATCATGAAGATAATTATGTTTGTAAGAATATATAATAAAAATAATATTAATTCCAAGTTGATTTGTTTAGGTAAATATAGTGAGAAAATAAGATACTATGTGTGATTGCTTGAAGTTATTGTTAACAGAATGATGCCTTTTCGTTGTACTTGTTGGTGCTTTGCTCTACGAATAGAAAAATTGCTTTCCATTTAGCCTTGACCGCCGTTGGAAAATCAAAAAATAATAATAGAATATAATTTTCTAGAATTACAAAGAATTCTGCAGTTACCACACCGCCAGACAACAGAAATTTGTTACACGTTGATTTTTTAAATAACACCCCGTTTCTAAGCCAAAAATGCTTCCTTAGCGCAGTTGGCAGCGCGTTAGTCTCATAATCTGAAGGTCGCCAGTTCGATCCTGGCAGGGAGCAATGTCTTTTTACGTTTTTGTTATGTCGAGTTGTTCTGCCTTTATGTCATTCCTGATCTGGGTTGGGTGTCAAGTCTCGATCTGGTATTTCTTTTCTGGCACTTGTAACTAAGTCGTAGAATCAATACCACTGGGGATCGTCAAGTTTTAAGAATAGTTTTTTTGATAACAATCAAGATGCTTTTTTATTAAATATACACTATAAGAAATGGCAGAATTTGAAACACAGCCATTATAACTTTGTTTTGGTCAATAGAAATCCAGTATTTAACCATTAGTGTTACAATGTTTTTCCTGTATATCCAGGGATTATATCTTTATTAGGAAGTTATATATACTCAAGTTTATTAAAAAAAAAGCTTTATTGAAAAATAGAATTCTGCTGAAATTATAGTCAAAACTTTTTATTTTATTTTCTTAAGTTGAAAATTTTGGGGTAAAAGATGCCCTAGTATGTGTCTAAGTACTTCAATGTCTTTTAGGAATTCTGCTAACTACTTGAGAAATATTGCATGAAAGAAGTAAAAAAACAATAGCAATAACTGAAATAATTTACAACTATACATAAAGAAAGAAAAAAAGAAGAAAAAAGAACTTTAGTATTTGTGATCTGAATGAATTTACTTTAAATAACATACCTTTGATATTGAATGAACATGAAATAATACAAAGCTTTGTATTTGATTCTTGTTACACTATATCAATACTTTTATTTTGAGTATTCATACCTTTAATGGTCTGGATGATATGAGCCTAATTATAATTGAAATGAAGTTTGATTAGTAATAAACTATAAAAGCTATTAACATTTATAATATCTTTTCACTGATCTTCACATCTATGTAGCAGTATTTTTCTATAGCAATGTTACGTAGTATGCAGCATAGTTAAAAGTATCATTGTTTTTATAATCTTGATTAAGGATCATAAAAAAATGTTAATGTAGTTAAAAAGCACTTAGTGTTTACTTTTGAGAAAAGAAGTCTAAGCCGCAGTACAATAACTGAGTATGAGTGTAAAGTTAGCATAAATTCTGCTAAGTCGTTTTTTACTACTAGAATTCTATTGTAATTTCATTTACAAGTGTTTGTACATCACAGCAAGCCTTATTAAGGTGTTTTATTTTCTTCAAAAAATGGTAGAGTGATATTCAGCAGAAATAGTTTTACCAGACCAATTATATATCTTGTGAGCTTTTGATTTTCTAATATAACCTCAAGAGTCTTCTGTGACCAAACTCTTATTTCAACATTAGAATCAATGTGCTTAATTAGGCTTAAAGCGTCCTAAACATGGTAAAGCTTATAGGAGATTAAAGAAGTTGTAAGGATTTTACCACGAGTTGTAAGTTTTTTTAAAAAACTTGCATATTTTTTCTTACAGTGATATTTCTTGACTATTTATATAAGATGATAATTGATTTCTGGCTAAAAGAATAGCTATAATAATATGTCTTAGATGTCTGTTGTCCAGTAATATCTTCTACAAGTATATTCACTATCTTAAACATCTAAAACATATATGAAAGACCAATCGGTAAAGTCAAGATCTTTTAACCTAAAAAGTCAACTCATACTAGTTGCTTATAACTACCAATTTTGTTCACTGATGTCAACTCTGACACGAGTTTGAAACTAATCATTTGAGGCTTTGCAGTGGCTTTTGAAAAGTTTATTTTTTGTCTCTTCTAATTTCTCCTCCTTCACCTTTGTTATTCTAAACATAAATCTCAACATGTCTGATCATATTATTTATAATATTTCAAACATTCAAAATGTTTTAGTCAACAGTACTTTGGAAGGAATCAAATCGCCTTCTTTTAATGTAGTCGTATCTGTTAAAGCTAGTGAGCACTAGAAAAATGGGTTCACATACACATGTGTAGGAATGTGTATACCAATGTGTTTAGTTTAAAAATATGCATGGATTTGGGTGACCTGTAAACTATGGGCAGAGTACCTTAGACATTAGGTTCGTGACGAGCTGAACACTAGTGTGGTGTCAAAGCAAGGTGCTGCAAATATGACCAATTTGTATTCTCCATATGGTAATTACATATGTACACTATAGGCGTTTGTGTAAAACTTATAGTTTTATTAAAATACTTTAAAGTGCAAGCTGATCCTGGATCTGATGGGGTTCTCCTTACTATAGTTACACATATCTTTGATACTAGAGTATAGGTACCTATACACTACTTTTTGTTCAAATATATCCAATTACAAAAGCCTCTTTATTGCTCTCAGCCTGTAACATACTCTCATAAATTTGATATCCTGTAATTATTGGGTTGTTTTGGTTTCATTTAAAGTTTATTGAAAAAGAATAATAGAATAATTCTAGGTTGATGGTCTTGTGATAGTATTATATATTTTGGCTACTTCTTCTGTGGGCTCTTTGATACTGTTTTATTTTGAGGATTGCTGCATAGAAAAAAGCACTAAAAAATAAAAATAATGGGATTTTTTTGCTAGGATGCAACAGCCTTTAAAAAATATGGGCAATATATTAGTTATATAGTTTTGATAGTATACTTTTCAGTAATTTTTGCAAATCAATATATACTTAATATATACTTATATTGAAAATACTAGAAACAAATGAGTTGAACAAAAAGACACTGAGAATGTTAAACATGGCGTTTGTTCCGATTTTCTTTGACTATAAAAAGGATCAGAGGAAATTAATTCAGGTAAATTAGGCAATAGAATAATTAATTTACATACCTAAAGCAAAACAATTTATATGTAAACATCGATAGTACTTGTCAAGAGGTGATATAGTCTCTAGTAGAATATTGTATTACATTAATATACAGCATAAATAATATTATAGTACATATAAAAAGAATAAAAGAAAAAGAAGACTTACCATATCAATGACAGTAACATGGGATGGTAGTTCTTGATGCATGGCATGTTTGAGAGAGGGTTGTTCATCTATAATAAAAGTCATATTTTCTTAGATAAATATAAAAAGTAAATAAAAATAAAGTAAAGTAAAATAAAATATTACCATTTTCATGGCTGTGTTTAATTGCAGAGAGTATTTTTGGCAATATGGCCTATAAGAAAGAAAAAAAAGTTAGAATAATTTTATAGGATGATGGCATAAAGTATATTTACTAACCTTGACTAATCCAGATGGCCATTGTGAAGAGGATGCATCAGAAGAAGTTAAAACGCGAGTGTCTATGACAACATAAACAATTATTATCTTTTAGTTGTATGTATATATATAGTATTTTAAAGAGATCGTCTTACCAAAAAAAAACGGAGGAATATAAAAGTGTAAGAGAGGCAGAGTAAGTATGTGCTTGCCTATTGTAGTGAAATGAATTAATTATTTTATTGTTTGTAAGGAAGTATTTTATTTTGCCAATAAAATATGTCTTACCAGAAAAACGCATGAATATAATAAAAGTTGGAAAGAGAGAGAGAAAAAATGAATTCAAGAAAAAATGAAACAAAACCGAAATCAGAAAAAAAAAGAATAAAAAAGATAAAAGAACAAAACGGGAAATAGGAAGGACAAGATAAAAAAAGAAAAGAAAAGAAGTGTGTATGTTTGAACCAAAAAAGAAAAAAAAAACCAATTGAGTCCAAAAAGATAATATAATGACAGATTGTCATCCCAAAGTTACAAGAGGATATTTTTGATATATTTACAGTTCTATTTAGTATACTTATATAAAGAAGTTGTTTGGAATATCATAACACTTCTTGCTTACATACACACACACACTCTCTCTCTTCCACTTCTTCACTTGCTCACATACATACTTGCTTGTATGTAAGAAATAAATCATTAATTTTAAATCAAACATTGTGAATTAAAAGTTAAAAATTAAATAACTGAAAAATATACTTTATTTAATATTATAGATCATGACTGGAATACACCAAATTGCTCCTAATTCATCTGATGAATACAAAAATCTTTTAGCCAAGATGAAAGAAATGGAGAAATCCATGGTTGATGTACGTGGTGAACTCACCACAATGCATAAAGCCATTTGTGCTGGCTTTGGACAAGGAAATGGATCCCAGACATCTGTTTCTGTTTCTCTTGATAATCCTTCTGTTGCTGCCAGTTCCATTGTCATAATTCCTGCTGATATCGCTTCTGAAATCAGCTGTGAAAACAAGGACAAAGTCTTTGTAAGTATTACTATATCCAATATTCTAACCATTAACCATTTTTGTTAAATAGAAGTTGATTCGAGGGTACATGCGGAGGGACAAATTTACTTCCAATGATCCTGCCCTTGTCAGTGCCAACGAGGCAAAGCCAAGGTGGGAAATGGATGTCTTCTTTAATATAAGCCTTAACAAGGAGATTGTTGCCAATCTTCTTGGTTACCTGCTCCCAAAGTTTGTTGGGCAGGGTATAAAAACAAGCAAATTCCGTACTATGGTGCACACAAACTTCCAGAGCACAACTCGTAAGGACAGAGAAGATCCTATGGTGCGAGCTGCCACTAACGCTCGTGGAAGACGAGCTGCAAGAGAAACTGAAGTGAGTGTTGTTTTATATTTCATCCCAAATTTAACCATAGAATTAATATTAATATATATATAAAATTACAGCACTTCAACCGCCGCGTAATGGCATATGTGTTAAACAAGGATGTCATTGATGCTTTAATGAAGAGAAACTGTTCTGGGCTGATGATCAGATCAGCAATGTCTGAAGGCGAGTCAGAGGATGAGTTTCCTGGGAGACCTTGCAAGCACATTGTAAAGGTTACCCGTCCTTTTTGGAGAAGTGATGAGGTAAATAATTTTGCAAGAAATAATTTTCTATATTTGAATAATATTTAACATATTATATATAAATATGTTTTTAGTTTAACAACCTCATCTTCAACATTGATGAGATTGTGAAAGAAAACTTGGGTAACAACATTCACCAGTTGTTAGACAGAAATCTTGTCAGCCTGTCTGAGAAACCAGTTCCCAATGACATTGCGTTATGTTTCCCTCCATGGACCCTTAGAGATGGGCCACAATAAAAATAATAAAAATCATTGTTTATCTCATCTTATTTATTCTCATCTTCACAAACTCAATGCTGACGATTTATATAGAGATAGTAATTATTTTTCTCTGTGCTTTTTTGTTATCGTCATTTACTTTAATTTTTCTTTTTTAAAAAAGAAAGAAAAGAAAGAAAGGATATTTATTATTGTTTTTTTTTTAGCATAAAGCTTTTTTGGTAAGGCAATTACCAGTTTTTTTTTGGACAAGTCCTGTTGTATAATTAGCAATTGCTACTTCTAAAGAGATTCTATGTACAGACAAAATTGAATGATAGTTTGATGGCAAAGGTGTTGAACCACAAATATCAACTCCATCTTTCTCTCGTGATTTATCTCCAAGTAATGGAAGCCAGTTGACAAACACAAATACATGTTGATCATGATGCGTGAAATCGGCTTCATAGTAGGGCAACATTGGAGGAGAAGTAAATGAATGAATGAAGATATACTTGATTTGACAAGTGAAGGTTGTTTCTTTACTTCTATCTCTGCCAAGAAACAATGATTGGACATATGATCCACGGCCAGTGGTGCCATTATTGCCATAGTACACTTGGCCAAGAATATTGATTGATTTCAACTTTATAATCTGATTGTCGACAAAGAATGGAGAGGCAGCAGCATTTTGATAATGGACGAGATCAGGAGTGAGGTACGTGAGTTTGTAGTATTCCAACAAATGGGGATAATCAAGATCACCCGTTGAAGAAGGTTTACTAACTGAAAGTGGGAAGGATGTAGGTGGGAGAGGTTCGTTGCCTAAGATAGAAATTCTGGTAGTTTCAGAAGAATCCACAAATGCTTGCAAAATGAATGGTGGCTGAAAAATTGTGGAGGAGGCAGATGGCGAGGTAAGGACAGGTGTAGATCAACAGACAAGTTTGGAAAGGACAGGAAGAAAGGGAGCTTGAGTGAGACATGTGAGAGCAGAATTAAAAAAATCACTTTTGTATATATCTTCAACAAAGCATCTCATAAATGTGGCTTTAAAACCGTTCTTGCCGTTTGTGCTGATATTCTTGAGTAGGCAATTGTATCTCTCAAATGCAAAGAGCCAATAACTATACACTGGTCCAAAATCGAGAATAGTTTCTTGAATATGGAGGTGTAAGTGCATATTACAGGTAAGGATTGTGGCGATGTAAATTTTGTTGCATTTTTCACAAAATTTTTCGAGATGTCTATGGGCGGTATTAATATCATCAAATGTAATGCTGGGCTTTACAAGGTGATGGCATGCATGGACAAAATCAACCCAGTTATTGAAATGCAAGGATGAGAGCACCGACTTCAACACCACAGGAGAATATATCAATACCCACGACTTCCGCTCGTCTGCTTTCATAAATGCAAATTTTTTGCCAATTTTGCTTTTCAATGCAGTATATCCCCTTGGTACAATCATCTTATCAGCTATCTTTTGCATGGCGGTAAAATCTCTGTCTCCAAAAACACCACGTTCAATCCACTGATCCATCATTCTTTTTGCTGTCCCCAAGAACAGGTTGTGCATGAGATCAATGATCGTTCCACGTACTAGATCAAAGTATCCAAGGCAGTGCAACTGCAACCATCAAACACCATTTTTGATTTCCAGATGCTGCCTTTCTGAGATGGTAACTGCGTTCTTCCACTCCTCAGCATGCAGCCTATTCTCCTCACAGTTATGACAACACCACTCAGACTTATTAAATCCACGGAAATCAACCTTGTTTGTGCTGTCAAGGCGAGTAAAATGATGGTTGCACTTAAAGCATGTGCAAGTGCTATTATGCACAGTGAATCTGCTAGTCTTTCTGGCAGCTGGGATGTCGCAGGCAACCATCATCAATGCAGCACAAATCACTTTGCCAGCAAGAGACTCGAATGTTGGGATTCTTACCCCACAATACAGCTGTATCAACTCATCTACTATTGGCTCAAGATAGTTATTTATCTCATTGGTTTTAGGCTCCTTGGGACCAGGCATAAGTCCTATGAGAATTACGTTCTCGGCTTTAAACCGGTCACTGCAAGACAAGTTGTTAATGGCCAAGTAGATTGCACCACAGGAGTATGTAACTTTATCAAACGGCTGGAACCAGTCGATATTGAGTGTCAGCATCAGCGAACAAGGCTGCTCAACAAATGAAGCACCATTACTATCCTTGAGTTCTTTCCAAACCGCACTGTCATACACATCGCACATTGTGTCTACTAATTTTGGCTCTGTATTCTATTGATGTATCTTTTCTTCGAAGCCTGGACGATTAAAAAGAATCTTGAACGCATTTTTGATGGACTGGTAATGGAAACTACGCTTGGGAACCAAAGCACCAGACAAAGATTTCTTTGTCAATTCACAGTTACAAGCTGCACAAGCACCTGTCTTTACAAAGACGCAGCAAGGAGGAACAGATTGATTTTCTTTGTAAATTGCATGGCAATCCTCGCAGGCCACAAATCGTCTTATGGCCTTGGAGAGCTCACAGAATCCCGTCATATGCTGAAGACCAGGCAGACTCGTGGGAAGCTGAAAGTCCTGCTTGTAAATCTTCAAGAGCTTGTTGATGAACTCAATCAAGACAACTGCACCCTTGTTGACCACGTAGCGGGATGCAAATAGCACAGTGAATGTTGCAATGAATCTGTGTACAGGATTCTCAGGCATACTAGTGTTTGAAAACATGTCTATTTAAAAATATAAAAAAATACTAATTTTTTTGACTTTTTTTAGATTTTTTTGACTTTCATACAAACATTCAGTGTCGACTTCTTCAACATCAATATCAACAGTATCTTTGGCATTCTCATTGCTCTCATACTCAAAGTCCATGTCATTGAAATCGACATCGACCTCATAGTCAACTGACATAGGGGAGATATCCAAAGTGGGTAAGTCCGACTGACATGCAAGAACTTCTACAGATCCAGATTCTTAGACTACAATAGCTACAAATATGGAATATAATAAGAAAGTTGTTTTTTTTTGATACCCAAATAAAAATGTCTTATACTCCGCATCAACGTTCATTACATGTCTCTGCACACCTGTGTTTAATATAAAAGCTATTAGTATATAAAAATGCAAATTTTATACTATAAATGACATACCAAGTTCACTTCTGATAGCATCTTTTAAAGCTGCTTTCTTGCCATGACGCTGGGCAGTTCTCTTTGACACTAAGGTGTATCCATTATAATTTTTAATGCACTTGGTACAATAGCACTCTTCAAAGTTTTGTTTGATAGTAGAAGACATGACGTTTGTGTTTTTTAATAATGAAATAAAAGGGAAACATGTGTTACATTTATCTATTCACAAAGACTTTATAGTAATAAATAAAATAACTTTTGTTGCTTGCTATATCCGAGCCAATAGAATGTAGTAAAAGCAGGTTTTTTTATTTGAACACAAAAAGCAGTGCTGAGATGAAATATACTCCACATATACACTATCACTGAATTATTTTGGCACTAGTGTATTCAGGGGTGTTTTTCCAGTGGAATGGACACAATGCCTTGACCGAATCAACACTCTTTGCTCAACTAAATGGAATAAAAAGAGAGTTCTTGACTCCAAGCAATACATATTTCAGGAAACCAGACAGTGCCACTGTGCAGGCATCTATGAATCAGAACGAGATATTTGACCAGCACAAAAAAACTCCAAGGCTTGCCAATGTACTGCTCTCTTTCTGATTAAGCAATACATTAGTAATCCCCATATTGTTACTTTTTGTATGACAAAGGAGCATAAAAACCATGTTCCTGATCATAAATCAGAAATCAGAACCATCCCTTTGCCTGCTGAGGCAATTAAGATTATTGAACAGCAACTGAGAAGTGGAAGCAGTTGTAGAAATACCAGAATTTCTACTCTCCATCAAATAGAGAGCTGGGTGTGGGCGTTAGAAAGCCAAATTATGAAAAGAGTTATAACAAGATGAAGAAGGTGTGTAGAACATATTTTTTGCTTTTTTTGTAGGGAACTTTGTGCTCGAGTGAGTTGTTGTGTAGACAATATAAGAAAAGAACTGTTTTATTTATTAAAAGTTTATGAAAAAATACAGATGAAAGCTCTGTTGTATATATTTGTATCAAACAAAAAAGACTCACTTGCAGTTTGGATAAACGTGAAACTTTCTGTGAATAACTATTGCATCTTTACTGCCACTCTTTCTCCTCTCAATGACAACAAAGATTTGTTTGCATTTGGCTTCCAATCCCCTTTACAGGTTGGAATAATGAGAGTAACAGAGTCATTCTGTCTTGATGTCACACACAGAATCTCTGCAAGAAGTTCCTAGATCATGTACTCTCTTGTAACTCGCCACTCTGTAACCAAAAAGGATTTCCTGTTGCATATATGATTACCAATGACAAAAGTGCAGTACCAATCATTCAATGGCTCTCACATCTTCTTCACAACAGTCGATTCAGACCTTTACATATTACTATCAACTGCTATATCTCTGAACACTGCAAAAGCAACCCCGAATCCCGTATGGGATAGGGGGCAAAATTCTGAGTGATTCTTGAAATAAATCCCAGGATTTAATTTAATTTTAGCATACAAGATAGGACACCTGTGCTATAGCTATAAAACAAATATATTCAGAGAATAGAAAGTGCTAAGCGCGGACATGAAGTTCTGTTAAACTCAATTTTTTTCTGAAATATCAATTAAAGACAGCTACTTTTTTTTGGTCTAATGCTGTGTCTATCTGTGTTTTAACATTAATCGAAGAAGTATATATCCTCCACTAGCATCCGAAGTTTATTATTCTATCCCGTATCTAGCATGCATTTTATTGGGCATTCAATCCGTTTCTCTTTAAAAGTCAATCGAAGAAGTATATAGCCTTCACTAGCACCCAAAGTTTATTATTTTATTCTGTATCTGGCACATATTTTATTGCACATTCACTTCATTTGCAACTCAAATGGATTCTTTTCATTGATCCAAAAAGTGTACTTTATATTTGTTTATTTATAGATAGTGTATGGGAAATAGTTTATTGATGCTTATTGTTTTATTGAAAAAAAATTTCTTGAAATATATTCTCTAATAATATGCTCTAATTCTTAGGTATATGATACTATTTATTTTTAAATTGTGTATTTGCTCTGAATATCAGCATTGAATACTAATATTCATTTATACAAATATTAATATTATGGCTTACCTTTTAAAATGAAGAAGCAGAAAGACAAAAAAGCTCCTTTGGATCTTACGAAATTAATATCAATCAATTTAAATAAATACCACATGTCTATGGAGTGAGTGATATTATTTTTGTCTTTTCTAAAAAATGTATGAGAGATATAAGTATCTAATGAAGACATAAAATATATATAGATAAAGTTAGCACTAACACAATTCTCTGCATATTTAAAGAATATTAGATTAAATAGAAAATATATTGATATTATGCTTAGTAAAAAAAGATATTGATTCTAGTAAGTTTATGTACCAAGCCAAGGTTTTTCTCATCTATTTAACATTAGAGTAAGAAAGACGACATTGTAAATCTGAAAAGTACATAATAATGGTAAGTATATAAAGTTTATGTAGACAATCAACATATTTTTTTTAAATATTTGAACTTACCAAGTCTATTGCGACTTAAAGGTTTTAAATTGGATCATCATTGTAATGTCTCATTGTCAAAAGAGCTGATCATGCCTAGTGATCAAAATTCAATGATCAGCAATGGATCATAAAATATATTTTATTTCTTCATTTACCTTTGTGAGCTAATACACTCTGATAACTGCTGTGAAAAATCTAAGATATTTTGTAAAGTAAGTGTCTTTAGAAATATTAAGAGTTATTTAAAGTAAAATAAAAAAAACAGAAACAAAGTGTATATATAAAATTCTTATCACAGCTTTAAAAAGAATAAGAAAAGTAAACAAAAAGACAAGGGAAGAGAGAAAAAATAAAAGGAAAAAAGAAAAAAGAACAAAAAGAAACAGTCAGAGAAAATCAAATAAAACTCATTTAATTCTCAGAATTTATTAGAGTCTATTATAAATTAAAGTATATGTCCCTAATTCCTTTTTTTTTGCTGCTATAAACTCAATAGATCCTTGAATTCGGGTTTTGATCTAGTATATCACATATAATCTATGGAAATATACTAAAGAAGTGTTGTAATTAAAAATTATTGTGTTTAAAGTATAGTAGCTAGAGGAATGATATATGTTGTAAATGAGTATTGACTACTGCTGTAATTGAGAATAAGTCTGAAGGAAATAATATAAGGCCTCAGCTATTCCAGTCAAAGGTGTCTACCGATTACTTTATTATTTAACACACAGGTTTAGCATGCATGATAGTGATTATATTTCATATGATGATATCACCATAATATGGGATACATCAGTGGATTATTATAAGCATAATTATAACTCATAAACACATTTACTTTCGATGTTAATACTTCATTGGGACTACACACATTTATATAATTAATCATACATTAATTATCCCAAGATCACGTTGCTCAGATTAAGGCTCAGATAGGATCGATTACCTGACCCCAGTCATATAATTTTCCTGATCCAAAATAATATAAATAGCAGTAGGAGTTCAGTGTAGGAACCTTGTCAAACTTTGATACAAAATCTTTCTCAATAAACAAAACCTACACAAGTTCTCACGAATCTTCGTTCCTAATTTCAAATCTTCAATTCTTCCTCTTAAAAACTTCTTCAACTTCAACCACCACAACAATATATATGATTCTTGAATAAAAGACTGTCTTCTTTAGGTTACATATAAGCAACTATGAAGATAATTATTTTACATCTTATATATTTAATAATATGTTTAGAATTATGTTTATCATCTAAAACAAATGAATCCAACACAAAATATATGTAACCAAACCCAGTAGGCTTTATTCCAAACGAATTAAATCATTACTGGTTATTGTTAAGTACCAACTTGAGCTGCCGGTGTCAGTTCTGAAACATAAGAGGTATTTAAAGCCAATGTTTTATTTTATTTTCCAACTTCTCTGATACTCTTATGCTCACTCTTACCGTAACTTATTTTATATGCCTTTATATTTTATTTAATATATAGAAAATAGTTCATTTCATTATAAATCAATTTCTGTTGTGTTATTTTTTTTACTAATGTCAATATATAGAGAAATGTCTTTAAACTCTACCAGAAACTCAACCCACGGAGGAAGAGAAAAGGCTGAACCTTCTGTCCATCATGTTGCTACTGATCGTGTTCAGCAGGCAGACATTGCCCCAAGACCCCAAGCTGTCAACCAGGTGGCAGATCCTGAACTAGAAAACAGGATTATTGATCTCTTGGTTGTCATCCAATCCAGAGCTGGCAGTGTCTATGACAATGGCAATGCAAGTACTATTGCAATCCTTGATATCATTAATGCTCAGCAGGCTTGTCTGGCTCAACAGCTCAGTGCTGTGTCTCATGAGTCTGCGAGTGGTTCTGTACTGGTTCCTTCAACAGGGCAGAATCCTTCTAATGAAATGAATGCGATTGTTTTAGTAAGTGTGTGCTTGTTGTTTTGTGGTATCACATCATCTAAAATAAAAATAAAAATAGGGATTCATCAATGAAAGAATGTGGAAGAGAAACTTCGTCTCTAACAACCCGGTGCTAATTGCTGAAAGCAAGGGCAAGAAGAGATAGAATACTAATGAAAAAATTGACCATACCAACAACGTTGAGGTTATCAACTACTTGAGAGATTATATTCTCTCTCAGCCAATGGCTGCTGGTGTTTGGTCTGGACTTGTAGTTGAGAAGATAAAAAACAACTACAAGTACATTTACTGGACAATGAACATGACTCCTGCCCAAGCAACGGCCAAAAACTATAAAGTGTGCTCCAACAGTAGACGCATAGAGGTAATTATATCAACTATAAAAAAAAAGAATCTCTTTTTAACTTGTTCTTGTTTAATTTTTTTTAGATTCATTTGCGCCGTCTTGGAGTTTATAATGACAATTGGCCGATCATTGATTGCAAGATAGGGTACAAGCAGGGTAACCCAGATGAGAAGGTCTATGAGTGTCTCATTGAGAAAGACGTGATGTCAGATGGAGAATTGGACAGTGAGGTGATCTCTCCAGGGTACAAGCAGCGTACTCTTCAGGTTGCTCCTCCCAGCTGGAGGAGCGATGAGATAGTTTTCTTAGAATAAAAAGAATGATTTAATAAGAAAGAACTGAATACTAAAAAAAATCTTCAATAAAATAAATATAGCTCAACAAGCTCCTCAGCATAATTGATAAGATCATGCAAACTAACGATGAGCTGCAGGTGACAACAATGTCAAAGCTACAAATGATCAGGCGTCTGACATCTATTAAGAATACACCTGTATCACGTAATATGTCTGCCATAATCTCTGAATGGGCAATCCAAATGTAATAAAATAAATATTATTCCCTTTCTTTCTCTTCTTTTTTCATTTCACATACAAATAAAAGTCATTAAATATTATTAAAAAGAAAAAATTAGATAGTAATTATATATACATATATTAGGAATTGATTTTTCTAGATAAAGGAATTATGAGCTTCTTATTGACTTTTTGTTTTGTTTAGAAGTCTACAATTGCAACAGGAAGGAGAAAGCGATGTACAGGCAATATGCTCTGGAAATCAGGTGCAGAAAATGCAGGACCCCAAATTTCCACACCTCCAAGTTGTCTACTTGTTACTTGCAAAGCCTTGTATCACTTTACATACGCAAAAGTATGCTGGATACTTTGGAGGTTTCCGTGATGTGGAGTTGAAACGAGTGGACTAAATGAATGAACAAATAGATACTGAATCTCACCAACATATGCATACTTTTCTCCATTTTGCCCTTCAATGAACATAGCTTGTACATAAGATCCACGCCCATTTGTTCCCTTACATCCTTTGAAGATCTGACCTAGAAGATTGACAGATTTCAGGGTTTCAATTCAGTCATTGATGAAGGCCATTCCGTTGATATTGTCTTTGCAGCTAGAGATGGTGGGATCATCATATGCAACCTGGTAGTACTCTACCAAACAATTGTATTCCTGTCTTGGCATTGTTTGGAAAGATTTTTTTCAGAGGAAGGGTGGATGTAGGCAAGGGCTCGTTACTACGAATTGACAGATATGGGTTTTCCACAGTATCAAGAAAATCCAGAAGAGAGAATCCATTGTAAACGTCTGTTGTACTTGTGTGGGAAACAGTATTACTACATGTATTAACTAATTTGCTGAAAATGCTGGAGAAATAGAACGGGCCTGCTGTCTTCAACAAATCATAAACAATATCGCCTTTATGGGTATCTTTGATGAAAGTTTTCATATATGTTATTTCAAAACCTGTATGACAATTTGTTTTGACATTTTTTAGAACACTGTTATATCGCTCAAAACTGAACAACCAGTATCCTTACACAGGCCCAAAGTTGGTAAGTGTTTGCTGGAGATGAAGGTGAAGGTGCATATGAGGAGAGAGTAGATCATGGCTGTAAATATGCTGACAGCCTTGACAAAACTTCTCTAATGATACATGTGCTTTTTTCACATCGTCTCAAGAAATGCTGGGCTTGCTGAGGTGCCAACATGCGTCCACAAAAAACATCCAGTTCTTATACATTCTTGGTGGCAAGACATCTTTCAGCACAACTGGAGAGTACACAAGGCACCACGACTTTCACTCGTCTGCCTTCATGAAAGGGAATCCCTTTGCGATCTTGGTCTTCAATACAGTATAACCCAGCAGCAACACCATTTTCTCAACAACCTTTTGCATGGCAACAAGTTTTTTGTTGTCAACTACTCCATCTGCTAACCATTTCTCCATCATTCTTTTGGCAGTGTCCAAAAAGAGATTGTGCATTGGATCAATGATTGTGCAGCAGACAGCATCAAAATATTGAAGATGATACAGTTTGGACCAGCAAACACCATTTTCTACTTCAAGACGATGTCTTTCAGTTTGAGTGGTTGCATTTCTCCAGATCTCAGCATTCTTACAATTATCATTCTTAGTGCGAAGGAGTCACTTTGAGAAATCAAATCCGGAGTAATCAACAGAACTTGTTCCAGCTAGTCGGGAGAATTGATGGGAGCACTTGGGACATGCATTAGTACTTGTATGGAATGTGAATCCACATACTTTCCTAGCAGTGGGAATGTCACAAGCAACCATGAGGAGGACAGCGCAAACAGTAGTACCATGCAGGCAGTCGTTTGTCTTGATCTTGATGCTGGCATACAACTTCTCCAACTCGTCTACCAAGTGCCTCAGGTAACTGTTGATTTCAGATGTCTTTGCTTCTTTTGGACCAGGCATCAATCCAACAAGGATCACGTTTTCCTTTTTGAATTCGACATCACAAGGAAGATTATTTACAGCAAGGTAAATAGCACCACAAAAATATATGACTCCATCAAACAGTTGGAACCAGTCGATGTTCATGGTCAACATCAATGAGTGGTTGCTGTCAACAAAAGGAACGTCATCAATATCTTTCAGTTCGCTCCACATTGCACTGTCATATATGTCAAACATGGTCCCCTCTACTTTTGGACCACGGTTTTATGAATTGATCTGGCGTTTGAATTCAGGGCGAGAGAGCAGAGATGTTATTGACTTAACAACAGAGTGGTAAACATAAGTTCTTTTAGGAATTGTGGACTGTCTTCCTGATTTGAACAAGGTGCTGTTGCAAAGATTATTTGTGCCAAACTTGCGGAATGTACAACAAGGAGGAGTGGATCCATTGTTTTTATAAATGCCATGGCACTCACTGCATGCAATATATTTTTTGATCCCATTTGTGAAAGTATTAAAACCTGCCATGCTTTTGAGACCAGGGATGCTAACAGAAAGGTGGAATGGATCTCTGAACAGCTCAAGGATTTTGTTCATGATGGCAATGAGAATAATGGCACCTTCGTCAACTACGTACAATGATACAAACAGCACAAGAATCTTTACAATAAAACAATGAATGAAACTCAACTCTGAGTTTGATTCAGAGAAGTATGCTTTATTTTAGAAAAAAATGTATTAATATTCAGTGAATCATTAAATAGCCAAGCCCTATTCATAAAAAAAGTACACACCTTTGTCCTCAATATTATTTTCAACATTGTCATCATCGTCTTCATCAGAATCAATATCATTAGAATCTTTGTCTTCTTGATTGCCAAACACATTGTCAGCTTCAGAAATAGGTAAGACTTGAGTAATAATTGGTGCGCTCATATCTGTTTCCGTGCTGTTTTCTAAGTCTACCAAAGTATAACAAAATAAGTTAGACTTGAAAAAAAAACAAAAAAAAAATAAAAAATAAAAAATAAAATAAAAAGTTTTTTTTTACTAAAGTCATAATCCATGTCACTGAAATCGTCTACGGCCTCAAAGTATTGTTCATCATCAATAATAACATCAGAAATAGTTTCTTGAATAGTCTCAGGGATAGTTTCAATTGAAGTTGTAATCACTGCTATAGTATGTTATATATGTTATTAATTGAGACACAAATAATTCATGATTCAAAGATATAAAACAGATTATACAATTCTTACATCTCTTACTGTTATAATAATCATTAAGTTCAGCATCCTCTTTTCTCTTGTGCAATTTAAATGTCTGAATAGATACTTTATTGCATCCGCCAGATTTGTTCTTGCAAACAGAACAGAAGCATAAATGTGTTTTCTTTGATTGATGGATTGATGTCATTACTTAAGAGTTATATGAAAAATATTATAGTTTAACAGTAAGAAAGACAAAAATATATTCAGATACAGTTTATTTTATTAAATTTGAGTTTGATATCTTGTTCTGATGCTACACAACTCTCAATAACCAATAAAATTGTCGAAAAGGGAACCCAAGGTCAAAATCTAGAAAAAGTGTCTGAGATAGAAATTTTGGCTTTCTATCTCAAGAATCCTAGAAACCTATTGCATATGGAATTTGGGCACTTTTTTGCAGTGCATTTGTGTCCTTTCTCAACATCTTCTTTGGAAACACTAGGCTTGGTGAAGTATCTGCATGAGTTAATAAACTCTATCCAGTTCTTGAACTCTGGCAATGGCAACACATCCCTTAGAACCACAGGAGACTACACAAGGCACCAAGACTTCCACTCATCAGCCTTCATATAGGGAAATCCCTTCGCAATCTTTGTCCCAAGTGATGTGTAATCGGGTGGCAACACTACCTTCTCAACAGTCTTTTGCATGACAACAAGTTTTTTATCGTCAATTAATCCATCCGCAACCCACCTCTCCAGCATTCTTTTGGCAGTGCCTAAGAAAAGATTGTGCATGGGATCAATGATTGTGCAGCAGACAATGTCAAAGTACTGAAGACGATGCAGTTCGGACCAGCAAACACCATGTGCAACTTCAAGACGCTGTCTCTCAGTTGGTTTGGTTGCATTTCTCCAGATCTCTGCATCCTTACGATTGTCATTCTTAGTGCGAAGGAGCCACTTTGAGAAATCGAATCCAGAATGATCAATGGAACTCGTTCCAGCCAACCTCAAAAATTGACACTTACACTTGTGGCATGCATTTGTAGTTGTATTGGATGTGAATCCACATACTTTCCTTGCAGCAGGTATATCACAGGCAGCCATGAGAAGGGCTGCTCAGATAGAAGTACCATTTGGGCATTGGTGAGTCTTAATCTTAATATCTTTGTACAGCTTCATAAACTCATCCACAAGCGGTTTCAGATAGTTATTTATGTCTGAAGTGATTGCTTCTTTAGGTCCTGGTATTAACTCAACAAGAATCACGTTCTCCTTCTTGAACTGCTCACTGCGTGGAAGATTATTGATTGCAAGATATATGGCATCACAAGAGTAGGTAACACCATCAAATGGCTGAAACCAGTCAATGTTCAGCATGAGAATGAGTGATTGCTCGGTATCAACAAAAGGTATATCATCTACGTCTACTATCTCATTTCATATTGCATCATTGTACATGTCATACAAAGTTCTATTCATTTTTGGGCCATGGTTCCATGAGTTGATCTTGTTTTTAAAATCTAGGCATTGAAAAAACGTCTTTAGAGCTTTCTTGACTGAGTGAAATACATATGTCTTTTTGGATACTTTTGACCTGGGACCAGACTTAAACAAGCTGTTGCCACACAAGGAGGTTTTATCAAAATTGGGTGATGTACAACACAAAGGGGCGGCTTCATTATCATATATGGCATGGCATTTGCTACATGCAACATACTTTTTGACACCACTTGTCAACGCTTCAAATCCAGACAAATGTTTGAGGCCAGCAACACTCACAGGAAGGCGGAATGGGTCAAACAAAAACTGCAGGATCTTGTTGATTATGGCAATCAGGATTACAGCTCCTTCATCGATGATGTATAGCGAGACAAAAATAGCAACCGAAATAATAATGAATTGGTGAATTAAATTCAATTCCGAAATTAATTCTAACAAAGAATCTTTAATTTGATTTTTTTAAAGAATATTGATTAACTCTCTATTTTTTAGGATATAATATTATCTAAAGCTGTGTACCTACCTTCATCATTGTCTATTCCAACATCGGATTCATCTTCATATTCTTCTTCTTCATAAGTGTCACTTGTATACTGGACGTTATCTTCAGGGCCAAACACACAATTCGTTTCAGAGAAAGGTTGGTTTATTGTCTGTATATCCAAAATGGCATTTAGATCATTTAGGTCTACAAAAGCAGAATGTTAGACCCAAATAAATCAATGTAATAAAATACGTTTTCTTACTTCTAAGCTCAGAATTTATTTCAACATCTTACTGTTCAAATTCAAAACTATCTTCCTCTTGATTTACAGGCTCAGAAACAGTACTACTAATTGTATTGCATGTGTCTTCATGGGCTACACATTTATTATTATTAGTGTTAGTATTATTATTATTATTATTACTATTATTATTATTATATAAAATAATAAAAAAGGAAATGATATAAAATAAAATAAAATAAAGTAAAGCAAATGTATTAATTGTACGCATTTGAACATGTGTAATATCATGATTATCTTTTTCTTGATGACATTTAAATGTTTTAACAGATACATGATTGAATCTTAGTGTCTTGCTTTTACAGATAGAGCATTGACACTCTTTTCTAACAGTTGGTTTGCGAATAGGAGCCATTTTAAAATGAAAAGAAAGGTTTACATTAGTATTTAATAGTAAAGAAAGAGACTTCAAAGAAAACACACTTTTATTTTATTTGAGTTTGATGTTGCATTATAATGCTACACAGCTGCCAGTAGCCAATAGAGTAGCTTAAAATACTATTCAAATACTTTACTCACAAAAGTGAGCTGAACTACAATTTTATCTATTCTGTCTATCAGAACTTAGGTATATTTTATATATGCGAAATTGATCTGTTTTTGCAGTGCTCATTTGCTGATCATGCGAGTCAGTATGTATTTGCATATGTACAATAGTACAAGGAAGTTTTACTTCAGACCAGAGCAGAAGAGGGAGTTAAGGTGAATGAGGTGGAGTTCGAAGATGACAGCATGAACAGTATTCTCCCAGTGCATAGAATCTGCTATCCAGTCGCAGTAGGCGAGCACCTTGGTCTAGAAGGCGAAGTTCAGATGTGTGTAGTTCCTTTGCCACAAAAAATATATATTTAGATTCAAATACAAAATTAAAACACGTATAAAAAAATATTAATTAATACAGACTAATATATATAACTGCATGTTTATTTTTTATTATTTCTATAAATTTTTGTTTGTACTTGGCATGTTATACATGCATCTGTATACATCATGCTAATCCGTAAACATAAACAAGTAGAAAAAAAACTCTAAAATAGTTGGCAAGAAAAAAATGATTTATTTTGAAAAGCATCAATCTGGTAAAGTGACTGCCAAATTCTCAGGAATGCTCACTTCTTTCTCATAAGGGATGTGCTTTTTCAAGCTTTCTGAATTTTTCTTCAAATGGATAACAGTAAGTTCATCAATAGTAATAATAAACGTCTGGAGCTGGTTTAAAGAATAAATAGTATTAATAAAGTATTATTATTTTCTTTAAAACATAGATAGATGTTTAACATTATCTCATCAGTTCTCCAGCTGGGACGATATGCCCGCACTTTGTTATCTCCATCCGACTCATCATCAGACATCACATTAATAAAAAGAATATTTCCGCAATCATATCGATTCATGCTATCATGAATAGCCTCTGTGTATGTCTGGTACGTGATAATACGACGGTCAAGAAGCTACCAAAGAATATTGTATTAAAACATTAAATGAATAGTAAATTAACTTTATTTTAAAACTTACAGTCTTCTTTCTGTTACGTCTTCTTCCAGCTTTATTTCTAGCCATAATCTACTCTTCTGAGGTCCAGAAGACTCGCACTTGATTTTGGTAGTGATTCTTTATTATATTTATATTGACACTCTTTGACACATTTGTGCAACATCTTTGAGGTCTCAGGTACTTGAAGAGAGCCAGTGCAAGTGTCTTGTTGTACTTATTGCCATATGTGCCAGTCATTGACCATGCTGATTTATTATTATTCTCAGCAACTTTAAGTGGGTCTGTGCTAACAAAGTTTGGTTTCTTGATGTAACTATTGATAAGTTGCTATAAAAATAGTATTAGATATAATAATCAGTAATGTTATTATTATCAATTTACTTACAGAAATCAAGAGATGATGTTTTGCTCCAAGGTCAAGATCATCATCCATGAAAGAAGAAGAATCCACTAGTACAGCAGAAGGCATCACGGAATTTTGGCTGGTCATTGCCTTTTTTATTTTGGCATTTGCAGTCATGAGCTGAAGAACCGAGTTCTTCGAAAATTCATTTGTCTTGTTGGAAAAATCCAGACCATTCTTCAAATGAGTTATTGCATCAGTCACTCCTTTTGCATTTTCTTGCAAGGATTGCATCAACACATTGTTGGCTGCTAACAAGGTAAGGACGTGATTCATTGGGGTCACATCAACTTGAACTTCAGAGACTGTGACAACTGCTACTTCTGGAGTTGGTATATCAATTGGAGCAACAACACCTGCAATTGTGCTATTAAGAACAGCATTCATGTGTAGGTTGGGTTGGTAGAAAGCAGTAGAAATACGCTTTGTCATTTTCTGTTAATAAAATAAATATTAATAATTTTCAACTAATATTGTACAATTCACTACACTCGTTGTATCATATTTAAAATTCACATACAAGTAAAGAGGATAAGTGGTGCAGATTAACTCTCTACCTTTCATTTGATATTTAAGCACATCTCTCAACTGCTTGATCCACATTTAGACAACTTCTTTTCTAACTCAATGAGGCACAAAGTAGTATTTCAAGATGATGGTGGTCATCTTGTTTTGGAGTATTACTTTTTACAGCCCGCATTTTGTTAGGGTCAAACTGGATTTCAAGACAAGTCTTTTTTTTTTTTTTTTTCCTTTAACAACATTTATTATTGATATTTTCTTTGTTTCTCTTTTGCTTATGTTTTTACAATTTCACTTACAATTTTTTCTTTCTTTTATAGCTCAATGCCAAATATGTGTCTCTTTGTTTAGCTATACTCTGTCTGATATATGAAGGTAAGATATCATTCTCTTACAGATCTTTGTTACTCATCATATTGTTTGTCTAGTCATTGCTACTCATTTCCATTGAGTCTCATCATCTCTTAATTGAACATGATGATAAGTTTTTTTCTAAAAAAAAAATCAAATTATTCTTTTGTCTTACTCATAAATATATATTTATTTTTACTACAATTTATTAATTATGTCTGATATTATGCACAAAGACGTATAATCAGTAATATTTGGTAAGTAAACTACAATATATTTAACAAATACGCCTTTACTATACACAATATTAATAATTATTCATTTTTACAACGTATTTCTATTCAAAGACTACTGGTATTGTCTTGATAATTGTGAAGAACATTTTTATATCAATTTCATGTCAAGTCTTCTCTGTCTTGTAAGTATTTATGAAGAAATTTCAATTTAAACCATTTACTAATTCTTCTTTTCTATTAATCATTTTTTAATAGCATTCCCGCCATTAAAGTATGTATTCTATGTCTATTTCCAGAAGGCTTTAAATTATATATAGTGAGCAAAAAGTATTAGCGATTATAATAGCTATAGTATGAAAACTGTTGCAAAATTAGAATTTTTATCTAGAAAAGATTTTCCTATCAAATAAAACAAAATTGAACAAAAAATGTATAACTCAATGTTTTTCCAAAAAATAAATAAAAGTAAAATAAATAAACAAACCAAAGAGGCTTGTTTATAAAAATCTACCCATGCTTTGTTTCTCTTTTCCATTATAAAAAACCTAGTTTCATTGCTTTTGTATGTATAAAAAACCTAGTTTTATCACTTTGAGTATATATAAAAAACCAACTATCATCATTTCTTTATAGTGTAAAAAACCTACAATCATCACTTTGATAGTCTTTAAAGCATTTATGCAGCCAATAAAAAAACCAGGTAAAAATAATAATATGGGATGCTAGCTCTTTATAGATCTCAAAATATAACACATAAAGAGATAGACTCAATTGAAGTAAAGCGTAACTACAATATTTATTCAGTTTCCATAGTTTGCGGACTGACAATTGTTCTACATTGGGTTTTTGTGTACCCATTGTTATGATGATACACATCAGCACCATAGATGATATTGTACAATTGCTCAAAATGATATATCACAAAAATTGTGATGATATCGGCTCAATTATCTACATTTTTAGTACATTTAATCCAGATGAAATTACCCTATCTTTTTAGTGCTATGCACCTAAAGATCTTATATTTCACTGATGATTGACATCAGGAAAGAGTCCAAGTGGGTAGGCTTTTTAGGACCAGACAAGATTGCCAGCTGCAAGAGATATTCATTTGTGTATCTAAGCTTTTTACTAGTAGCTTTTTTTTTGAAATTAATATATTAATTGATTTGTTACCTTATTGATGGGTCAAGGTTGAACACAACAGCATAAATGATGTTGTACAAACTCTTGCTCTTTTTTTGGTTAACAGAAACATTGGTATATAGCTCAATGGTAATATCATTGAGATTTGAGAACAAGCCTTGCTTCACCAACTGCTTGTAATTGTCAACATCGAAAATATTGGTGAGCTGACCAGCTACAGATTTCCAGTTAGCCCTGTAATGAAGGAGTTCTCTTGTGGCTGGATCAGCTAGTATTTGAGAAAACATATCACCAACTGACATGAACTTCATACTGGCAGCTGGTGTTTGATTTTGCTCAGTATCAGTCTTGTATCGCGGTTCACCACAGTCAACACAAGATTCCTGATCATCATTAATGACATACAATTGGCAACTATTAGGACAGACATCATACTCATGGCCCTTGACACTTGACTTGGACTTAAGCAATGCATCAACAGTTTTGCCATGGCTGATCTTAGCCCCAGGTTCTAAAAAAAAACAACATCAGTACATGTTAGAAATTTGAAATTAAAGTGTAAGATAACATAAATATTCTGTTTTACCCAACATAATTTCATCGTGATCTCAAATGATTGTATTAACAAATCAGACAATATCTCTGTAAGCTGCCCTAGAAATTCTGTGCTGAAGCACTAATTGAGAGAGATGAATACTCATCAACTCGGCCTTTGTAAAGGTATTGCTACCAATTCTGCTGCTATTGTAAATGTGAGCTTCACCCTCACTGTCCTCAAAACTACAACTGCACTTGTAAGAAATGGTATTGTTAATCTCCATTGCATTCACAGCATAATCTATAACGCATTATTAAATGAGTATTCCAATCACTTATTAATAATTTTACACTGATTATTATTATCTGAATTGCTAACTAATTCATTATCGTCAATAATGTTATTTCTAATATCATTTTGCATTTCAACATCCTCTGTAATATATTGTGAAATGATATTTGCTGACGCCAAGTTGCTTTCATGACCTCTCTTATGGTTCTGAAGCTGATGGTAAGTGTTGAACGACAGGACACATTAATTGCATGTGTGTTTGTGTAAATAATCTATCTCTCTGCTGATTGATGTTGGAGGAAGACATATTGATTGCTTTAGTAAGTATTTAGCATATAAAATGAAACTGTAAAAAAGATTCTGGTTATATCTGCACAACATAAAAAAGAGCTTTATATACTCTTTATCTCAGGATAATTTGTTTATTTTCTTTTATTTTATTTCTCGCAATGATATCACAATAATAACAATGATGATGATATTAGCTAAACACATCTTGATCAACAATGACAACAAGTATTATATAAGTATAACTATCATAACATTTACTTTACAAGATCAATGATGAATACTTAATTAACTATATCATATTTAAACATTGTGTTACTATTACAAAGTCCATTTACACTGATGTCATTATTTTAACCAGTAAAATATTCTGGCATCAAAAATTAAAAAAATAATGTCATAGTAACAACATGTTTATGGTTAAGCTGTTATATATCTTTTCAAGAAGTTAAATGAGTAAATATTGTGAAATATATATATAATGGGAAGTACAACTTTTATTCTTTTTATCTTTCTTAAAAAATAATAATTCAAAAATGTCTGATATCAACACCACACTCATAAACTCTGTCAAAAAAATTGGAATTAATATTGCTAAAGTAAAGCAAATGATATGCATACTTCAGAATTAGCTTAGCAAACAATTTGCCTCAGCTGTCAGCGCAGAAGATCTTAATATAATACAACAAAGCATCATTAAGCAAAGTGATAAGACACATCTACTATATATCTGTATATTTACTTGTCTTATTAATATGATAGTATACAACATCCTTTTTGGTAGGTTTTGAACGTGTTGCCAAGTCTGTGAAAAAGTCTCAATTCACTGAGTATCCTGACCAGCTTGGAAAACAAGTAATTCATATAGGTGAAAATTTCAAAGAGAAAAACGAAGCCCAGAAATACAATTTGTTATTGCAGTTGCTTCATGAACAGAAATGAAAAAATTGTTGTAAAGAAATCTCAGAAGGGCAATTTTTGCCCCAATTAATACTTCTTTCAGACATTGATTTGTTTATGAAACAATTGCAGCTCAAGACGTTGAGCTGCACAATCAAGCAAGATCTCATTGACAAAAGTTTTTCTGCTTTAAGTAAAGAATGAAAAGATATCCCAGCAAAGCACTGGGAGTACTACATGATACAATTAAAGAGAATGGCAAAGGATAATTACTTTGCTATCTACAAGTGCAAGAGCATGTGATGTGCCAAAAGTCTCCTCCAAGGAAGCTTCAAAAGTGACAACCAGAAGCAAAAAAGAAAAATGGTAGAGAAGAACATTATAATTTTATTAATTAAAAGGTTTCATTCATATATTTTAATAAACGTCTAAAAAAATTATAAGGTGCAGCAAGATGCAAATGATTTTTCACTGTCTTCTAATAATATATCAGAAAGTAATGGTGGAAAGCCGCCTATTATAGTGAATGTGCTGTAAGTTACCATAGTTTCTGCTGATTTGATGCTGTCAATACGAAACTAATATAATTTTTTTTACTTTTTTATAAAGGTCTTCTCTGGCAGAAATGAGTGTTGAGCCAGCACATCAGAGAAGGCAAAGATTGTAGAAGGTTTTGATTGATTCAAAATATTTTTTAGCATATTTTTAGTTTAGTTTTTATATTTGTCTTTTATTTTTTTCTTTTCTCTTCCTTTCTCTTGTTTTTTTTTATTCTCTCTCTTTAAATAAAGATGTGTTGCCCTTTTTTATGTGATTGGCATCTATATAGTCATTAGCATTGAAAACTAATATATAACATCTGCAGCATTGATACAATTAATTTTTAAATGAAGCACATTAGATTCTTTTTTTAAAGAACAAAAAAAGTAGTAATACTCTTGTGCTGCTATGTTATACTTGATAGATGTTATACTCTATGTAAGTACTTTGATATAATATATATCTTGTGTTAATAAAACAATGCTTATTCAGTTTTCAACTAGATTCAACTTGATTTTATATTGTATGGCTCAAAAACATTTTTGGGTTTTATTTGGTAATGATTTTGAGTGATACTCACTGCTTTTTTTATTTGTCTTGTAGATACTCTAACACTTTTTAATAACATCTAAAGCTTGCGCATTCATATTATTTTCTAATATATATATTTTTAGAGCAAAAAAAATTCTTTGAAGCTATTAAGCATATTACATAAAGGTAAGCACTACATTATTATATCTATTTGTTTATTCTCTCTAACATTGATATATTTGTAGAAACCAGTAAGGATTAAAGAAGATCATTTAGTCTATATCAAAGTACTTGAAACATATAAAATGCATTTGAGATGAAGAGTTTTTACTGCATTCTCTGCAGTAGCCAAATAATACTGTGTCTTTTTTGCAAGTTCCAACAGAGAGGTTTTAAATAGTATTACTATCATATAATAAAACATAAATTGAAGCAAAATCTTATTCAATTCAATTCATTCTAATTCATTTTAATTCAATTCAATAAGTGATTCATTTTATATGGCAAATAAAAAGAGAGATTATATACTAGTATTATATACAGTAGAGCAAAAAAAAGGGAGGCGTGAAAGAAAACCAAAAATAATAAAAAACCAAAAAAAACAAAAAAAACAATGAATCTTGCTATACAGACTCATATCTGTCATTTATTATTATATAAAAAATAGTAGTTATGCTACCAAAGTGGTAACATATTACCACTTTTTTAGCCATAGTAGATAGACTTGACTCAATATACTCAGATAATAAAGCAAATAAAATATTAACTGTATTAAAAATTAAGAAAACTTGTTGTCAGAAAATAAGACAAAGAAAAATCAATGTTTATTAAATGCAAGTATTGCAATATTTATACAAACTCTTAAGTAGCTTTGCAATTGACTTGTTGAATAATTAAATAAATAAAATTATTGAAAAATATAATAAAATGTTGTATAATTGATAATCTACTAAATGTGATTTATTTTTTACTATTATTAAGTATAAATAATATAAAAAAAATTATTAAGTCATAATCATAAAAATAATTATACTTATAAAGAAAATATAATAAAAATAATGTTAATTCTAAGTTGATTCATTCAGTTAATTATAGTGAGAAAATAAGATACAATGTGTGATTGCATGAAGTTATTGTTAACAAGATGATGTTTTTTCATTGTATCTATTGGTGTTTTGCTCTACAAATAGAAAAATTAGTTTCTATTCAGCCTCGGTCGCCATCAGAAAATCAAAAAAAAATAGAATATAACTTCTAGAATTACAAAGAATTCTACAATGTCACCGTACTGCTGGACAACTGAATTTTTGTTAAATGTGGATTATTTTTACAACACTCCGTGTCAAAAATGTTGCATATGATATGTAGTTATGTATAAAAGATATACAAGAAAAGATAATTATATATAAGAAGAGGCATTAAAAAGAGGAATTAAGGATTTGGGTTCGATATCAAATAAATTAAGGTGATAAAATAGTCTCTTTGTTACCAAATAGACCAGTTAAAGAAATTGAAAGAGAAATTAACACTAAGGTAAGAGTGTAAATAATTTGAATGATTAGAGAAATAGTTAAACTAAAAGAAGTGAAGTAAATACTACTAATTCTAAAAAGTTAACTATGAGAAAGAAATGTTTAATAAAGTAAAGAATTTAGCTAAAGAGAAATTTACTATGCTAAATTTACTAAGACATAAATAAAAGGGGATGATCAATCTTCTATGAAGACTTGACAGAAAAATAAATAAAAACGGAAGAAATTTCATAAGAGATTAGAGATAATAAACAGCATCTTGAAGAAAACTTGTATCAAAAAAATTTGATAGTTATTTATTGATTGATTTTAAAGAGATATTTATACTACTTTATGGATAAAATATATGGCATAAATAGGCTAGATAAAACTCAATAAAATAATTGTAAATGAAAATATAAAGAAAAATAACTGTATAAATATTTTATCATAAAAGACAAAATAAATGAATTTATAATATATAACTACAAGAAAAGAAAAATATCAGAAAGAAGTATATTATAAATAAAGAGAAAAACTATTCAGTTAACAATTTTGGTAAAGTAGTATTTGAGAGGAAGCGTCACATTTAGTGTGCAGTAATAAAATAAAAAGAAAAGAGAGAAAACAATTTTGGAAAAAATAAAGGGGAAAAGATTTTAATTTTCAAAAAATCAGTTTTGGAAAAAGGCAATTTTGTGAAAATGGAAGGAAGAAATTAAAATTAAAATTAAAATTTTGAAGAAAAATTAAAAGGGGCTTTTAAAAGAAAGTCTGAACTTGATAGAATTTGGTTTTTAGCCTGAGGCCGACAGCACCACTACACTATGTGTCAACAATGACGCATATGGTGCTTGTATTTGTAGTAAATGTTGACAGATAATATTATTACGGTTTTCGAGGTTTGAATAGATTCATAGATGTAAAATAATCTTTTTTTTCACAAGAGAGAAAAAGACAAACTCAAAAGAGAATGCAGAATTAAAGATAATAAAATCAATAAGAGAAAAATAAGAGAAAAACAGTACTATTGATCAATCTCAATAGACTTGACTCAATATACTTAGATACTCAAACAAGTAAAATATCAACAGTATTAAATATTAAAAGAACTTGTTGTCAGAAAATAAGACGGAGAAAATCCATGTTTATTAAATGCAAGTATTGCAATATTTATAGTTTTGTAATTAACTTGTTGAATAATTAAATAAATAAAATTATAAAAAAAAATATAATAAAAGTTGTACAATCAACAATCTATTAAATATAATTTGTTCTTTACTATCATTAAATACAAATAAAATAATATAATTATTAAGTTATAATTATGTAGATAATTATGCTTGTAAGAATATATAATAATAATGAAAATAATATTAATTCCAAGTCGATTTGTTCAGTTAAATATAATAAGAAAATAAGATAATATGTATAATTGCCTGAAGTTATTGTTGACAGGATGATACTTTTTTGTTGTACTTATTGATGTTTTGCTCTACGAATAGAAAAATTGCTTTCTATTCAGCCTCGGCCACCGTCAGAAAATCAAAAATAATAATAATAATAGAATATCATTTTTTCAAGAATTACAGAATTCTGTAACGTCACCGAACTGCCAGACAACCGAAATTTTATTAAAAGCTGATCATTATTACATTACCCAGCGTCAAAGTCAGCTACGCCGCAATAGCTCAGCTGGGAGAGCGTTAGACTGAAGATCTAAAGGTCGTGTGTTCAATCCACACTTGTGGCATGTAATAATTTATAACTTAATTATTAAAATCTGAGTTTTTTTTATCAGAGTTGATATTTGTCGCTTTCGATCTGGGTTGTTCTTCCAATGCTATAACACAGCCAAAATTGGTCAAACCTACTGGGAATTGTAAACGAAGATAAAAGAATAAAAAGAGGATAGAAAGATAGATGACTTTTATTGAAAAAAATAACATTCTCTTTTATATCTTTTCTAAATCTACCCAGCCATTATAAATGTCTGTTTCGGTTTCTATTCTACTTTTGTTAAGCTATGTGCTTTCTAATTCTTTTGTGAGCAAAAGGAAATTACTTTGGTCATTATTCTCAAAAGAGAATTCTGTGTAATCGTCATCCTGATTGGCTGACAAGAATTCGGGCATGACACATTGGCCATAAAAATTGGAGTTCACAAGCAACTAATAATGGTTGACTTTTAGGGTAAAAGATCTTGACATTGCTACACCACAGCAGATTTTTCTGGTAACATTTTTTGATTTCTAGCTGAGAGTAAACTACTTTCATTTTGGGAAGAGAAATAATTTGAGCTCCCAGTCAAAAGAATTGCAAAATTAAAAAAATGGAATTATAAAAAAATTGGCTGGTAAAATTTGATTTTATTTATTTTTATAGGTTGAAAATATTGGGGGTAAATAATTTTAGGTTTCCCATACCAGCCCGCAGTAGCTACTACTGTAGGGTAGGCATGCTTGCACTAGCAGCTAGAAATATTTAATAGCTACTCTGAAAATATTTTTAGAAATTAAAGCAAATAGAATTTTGAAAAACCCAATGGCATGTTCAAAAACAGAAACTGCATCAATGCTTTTAAAATACAAGTAAAGAAACTATTGAAAGAACAAGTGCCAAATCTGAGTAAAAATGTCAAACTTACAAAAAAAACAAAGGTTATTAGTATATGGATTTTTGATGAAGATTACTATGTTTTAGATGACTTATCACATATTAATTAAATCTAAAACAAACAAAAACAAAAACAAAAACAAAACAAAGCAAAAAAAAGAAGACATATGTGTTGTGTCTAAGGATAACCCCGCCCATATCTCAGCTGTAACTAGTACTCTGACGTTCTCACTGTCTGCATCTCTCAATGCATGGATCATCTCTCTGCGTCCTTCTGTTTCTGTTTCTGTCTCTGTCTTGTACTGTTGTGGTATATATAAGCTTATGTATACCACAGCATATCCTATCTCTAGCTTTCTCTATCTCTTAATATTTAGTATAAATACTTGATCAATTGCTATTAATAAAAGACTATCTTTTTGAAGTTCATAATCTTTGTCTTCCAAGCCTAGTTGTCTAAACTAGCCTTGTATATCTATATAACTCCGCATAGTTATTACATATGTTTATGTAAGTATATGTTGTGGTGGTTGAAGTTGAAGAAGTTTTTAAGAGGAAGAATTCAAGATTTGAAATTAGGAACGAAGATTCGTGAGAACTTGTGTAGGTTTTGTTTATTGAGAAAAGATTTTGTATCAAAGTTTGACCAGGTTCCTACACTGAACTACTACTGCTATTTATATTGTTTTGGATTGGGAAAATTATATGACTGGGGTCAGGTAATCGATCCTATCTGAGCCTTAATCAGAGCAACATGATCTTGGGATAATTAATGTATGATTAATTATATAAATGTGTGTAGTCCCAATGAATTATTAACATCGAAAGTAAATGTGTTTATGAGTTATAATTATGCTTATAATAATCCACTGATGTATCCCATATTATGGTGATATCATCATATGAAATATAATCACTATCATGCATGCTAAACCTGTGTGTTAAATAATAAAGTAATCGGTAGACACCTTTGACTGGAATAGCTGAGGCCTTATATTATTTCCTTCAGACTTATTCTCAATTACAGCAGTAGTCAATACTCATTTACAACAGTATAGATAAAATCAGTATACAAGCAAGATTCTTTACATATCTCTTTATGTCAAGATTTCACATGCCCTACTATAATTCATTGAGATTTTATTAATCAAAAATTATAATAGATCATATTATTAGCAATACCTTTCAAGATCTTAATCATGTGGGAGGATCAGAGTTGATCTGTAGTATAATTATTCAATGAGTAGCAAGATCATGTTCCATCCGTTATCTGATCTTTAGAAAAAGAAGAAAAGTTGTATGAAACAAAAAAAGACAATCAATGTTTATTTTTTGTGTCCAGCTAGACAGTATTAAGTAATCAGTTCTTATTGGTTTATAGAGAGCAACAGAAGATTGCCACTGGCTACATAAATAATATTTTTCATTGGTTTCTGAGACAAATCGACTTGTAGTTTCAGAGTGAAAAGTAATAAATATATGCTAGCTCTTTTAACTTTGTTCTACTTAATCACACATTGCATGCCAAGAATGCAATGGTGCCACGAATTGCAAAAAAACCAAAGTATGCAAGAGTGGCATTCTTTGCTTCAAAAGTCCATGACCAAACCACTTTCAGTATAACCAAAAACATAAAAACGTGTTGGCTTTGTAGAAAGAACTTCAGTCAAGAGTGGAAACTTAGATGCCATCTACAAAAGTTTCATGCATCAGAAGATTTCACAAACAACAGCCCAATTGAAAATCTCGAAGATGTTCCTGATTGCAAAATCAATGAATCTCCTGTTCCTGAAAATGAAGATTCATTGTGTGAAGACAAAGACACCAATTCTACTGTAAAAAGTAGGATGGACACTGAGCTTGACAACAATGCCAGCAAAATTGACAAAAGTGCCAGCAAAATGGACAATTCTGACAACAGCAGCAATATTGACATGGAGAAAGTAAGTCATTCCCTGGATGATGCAGGCCCAGCTAACTTTTTATATGCACACATCTGGGATAGCATGATATCTTCTGTAACCAACCTTGACTCACTCATAGATGAAAATGTTGATTGGCTTGACAGCTTACTTGGAGCATGCTCAACCTGGAATTTTAATATCTTGACTACTTACCCATTTCCAGACCTTCAGTCAATGGTGTTATTTGCTCTGGTAAATGGTGACAACGATATGTTCTCTTGTAGAATCTTGAAAAGGATTGTTTTGACCATTAGACTTATCCTAAAGCTGCAAGAGGAAGCCAACACAAACAGATCATCTTTCAAGCTACCCCGTTTGGATGCACTCTTGAACTACCAGAGCAGAAAGAAGTCCAAGCTCCCTGTACTCACTTCGACACCCGTGACAATCGATTTGCCTAAAAACAAGTCTGTCTTAGCATATGTAAACATGCCCTCAGATCACTTGAAGTTACTTGCCACGAACTCTGTGAAAGCAAAGTTCATGTTTGCTATGCCTGATTGTATGGCAGACTAGTTTGTATGCTTACAGTAAGGCAAGAAATAGAGAACACACAAGAATTTCCAGCAGCTGATGTTTACACACAACAAGATAGACTTTTGGTCTGGGGATGTTGTTGAGTTTGCTGGTGGCTCTGCCAATGCTCATTTTTTGGTAAGGGCTTTTTATATGATAGACATCTCTGCTGTGTATCCTCAAGATTATAATGTTTTGCTCCCTGAAAACAATCATTTTGCTCACATCGAAACTAAGCGTATCAGTATGAGAGTTAAGAAATTACTCTGGGTTGATGCTTCTTCTATTCATATTGACTTTTGCTTCAGTGTGTTCCCAGAGAAGATTGATCCTGTACTTCCAGTCCACCGGTCTTTGCTTCTAGTCTCCCATTTCCTGAAACGACATATCTCTCAAGGTCCTGACAATCCAAATAACAAAAACCGTTTTTACAAGGTCAGGATTGCTCCAATAACATGTCAGGAAGCCAGTCAAAGCAGTACAATCTTTACAAAAGTTGGTCTATAAAGTGTGCAGCTCTTTTCTTTGAAGAGAGGTCTTCGATAGAGAACATCTACTTCCTATCTGCAATCCCAAAGAAAGATGGTGCAAGTGGAATGTCATTGCTTCCTGTCTTTGTCAAAGACCTCAAGATGCTTGAAAACGGACTGGTGATGTTCTCAGCTGAAGACAACAAACACGTCTTAGTCGTAGCACCACTCCTTTGGATTGAGGCTGACACACCATGCCATTCTGAGCTCTGTGGTTTACGTGCCCCTACTTGTCTGTATCCATGCTGGAAATGCTACGTGGTGTTACAAAGAACCGCAGAAAAATTGAAGGATGAGATACACTATACGGGTAGTCATGCTAGCAAAATCAAGAAACATTACCAGATTGCTGCATCTACCTCAGATAGAAGTTCAACTATACCAGATGCTCCCTCAACTGGTAAAAATTTTAAGGCAAGTGAACTAAGCTTCAGATATAGGGCAATGGATGTAGTGTTAGATCTGGATTCGTTTGATCCATTGACCAATACACCTATAGAAATACTACATAACATTCTTCTTGGTGTTGCAAAGTATTTGGTAACCGATTTGGTAAAGGTTGTTCTAAAGGGACACCCCAGTTTACTGAACAAGCTAATGGACTCTTTGAAGGAATATGAGAAGTTTCAAGATTTATCACAAAAGTTTACTAGACTCCTAAGACATTGCAGCTTGTTCCTTGGAAGAGATTTTAAGATTCTTGTACAAATCCTTCCCATTGTCTTGGCTACCAAGTTTTTAAATGATAATGAATTCTTTCTCATAGCCCCATGTTTTGTCTATCTTGGCCATCTTTGTTCCCTGGTATTTGTTAGAGCAGTTAAGTACAATTATAATTCTTATATAGCCAAAGTTAAAAATACAGTTACTAGTCTGATCCAAAAACTATATTTTTATGACAAGAATTATAGTATTGAGTGTCATAAGCTGTATATCTCAAAGCTTAAATTACATCTGCTCACTCATCTTCTCAACAACCTTTGAAGATTTAGAACTGCTTTACATTACAAAACCAAAAAAGGTGAGCAGTTTAACAAACACATTCGTGAGCACCTAATACATACAAATAGGTTAAGCACCTCAAGAGACGTATGTCTCATATTCATCAAGCAAGCAGTTATGAGACATGTCATTGATGGTGGCTCATGGATGAACAAAGGCAGCCAGAGATAGCATTTTTTTAGTGATACTGCAGTGTTCCTTCACAAAAATTTTGACAAGAGCTTCTGGGATATCTTGTATGGCAGATCAAGAGACTTTGCTAATAACAACAACATTGACAATATTGCAGATCTCTCACCTGGTAATAATACCTTTGGAGTATTTGCACTTGAGGAGAGTAGAGATCAGCCAGTCCATTATATTATTGGAAAGGTCTCCTCTCTGAGAGTAGAACACTACAGAGTTGAGAGTAGTGCCCATGGTTAAGAGAACATCTTTCTCTGCGCACAAAGGTTCTTTAATGATCTAACTACTCCACTCGATCAATTGACAATAATTTGCAAGCTTGACATGCACACTTTTTATGACAATAAGCTTGTAATTAATCTTAACAAGTTTGGATCATATCAGTTCTTTGCCTCTCAGGTGTACAATTGGCAGTATTAATTAAAATTTATATCAATAAATATTTTTTTAATAAAAATTCTTGATTTTTACTAAGTTATTTTTTGTTTTTGGTAAAACTCCAAGAATATACAGACCCATATCAGTACTGAATAAAATTTTAAGATTCCGCCAAATCAAGGCATTACCATTACACTACCTTTTATTTATTTTTGCAAAGCTTTTCCTCATTCGAATCTCACCATGTCTCACCAAAACAAAAAGCAAACTCTTCCCAAACGAAAGCAGCTTTCAGATTATCAAAGAGGACTGATAATTGGTGATGCTATAGTAAATGGCACTGCTGCTGAAATTTCTGAGAAGAATGGTATACCTCTAGCAATGGTGTATTCCACAATCAATAGATGGAGAGATACTGGAACCATATTTCCTGATAAGCGAAAAGGAACTTTGAAGATAATGGATGAGCGAGATGAGTGTCACTTGATTAATGAGATGAAGACGAATCGTGAGACAACACTTGGGGGTCTTACTACCTTCATGTCTGACACCCTAGGGCATCTCATCTCCAAGTCTACCATTCGTTGAACTATTCGTAGATCTAGATTGTCTTCTTGTAAAGTTGTATACAAGGCACTGCGACCAAAAGCACACAAGAAGAAGCGGTTGGCATTTGCTAATCATGTCAGAGAGACCAATCAGAGATGGGATCGCATCATCTGGAGCGATGAGTCAAGGTTTATGCTTTTCAGCAGAGATGGCAATACTAGAGTATGGCGGTATCCTCAAGAAAAATACAGAGAAGAGTTCATTAGACCAAGACTGCAGTGTGGCGGAGGCTCCATTATAGTTTGGGGCTGTGTATGGGCAGGAGGAGTTGGCCCATTGAAAACTATAAAGAACACACTTGACCAGTATGCATATATGAACTTAATGAAAAGGAAGCTTCTTCCATTTATGGAATCTCTTAGTGAGAACAATGATGGGGAGTTTATCTACCAAGAAGATAATGCTCCTTGTCATAAGTCTAAGCTTGCAGAAGAGTGGAAGAAGCATCAGAACTTCCCAGTGATGGTATGGCCGCCGAACAGTCCAGATCTCAGCCCCATACAGAATTTATGGGCATATCTTACCAGAAAAGTGAATGCCAGAGTCCCCTTTCCAAAAAATCTTAATAAGCTGGAGAGGGCTATTCATAATGAACAGAAGAATATTCCGGCTGACATTTGCAAGACACATTGCATGTCAATGCCTAATCGCTTACATGAGATGAAGAAGGCTCGTGGAGGGTCAACACATTATTAATTTTTTTAATAAATTTACTTTTTATTTTTTTAAGAGCCATATCTTAGTATATATATGTTTTCAAACATGGGATGTTAAGTGAATATAGATAAACTAGTGTAAGAATGTTAAAGAAGTTGATGCCTTGATTTGGCGGAATCTTAAAATTTTATTCAGTACTGATATGGGTCTGTATATATATAGATGCATACATTTTCAAATTTATCTAATGCAGACATAATATCTCAGAAAATTGCTCTAAATTGATATTCCAAAAAGTTCAGATTTTTTAAACCAATCAAAATGCTTGGGAGTAAATCAAATCTATATTTGATATCAAAAATCTCCCGTGGTGTAATTGGTCTCTTGTATATGTTTTGGGTGTTTAAGATAGTAGATATACTTATAAAAATATTACTAGATAACTAGCATTTAAGATATATTAATGTAACTATTCTTTTAACCAGAAATCAAATATCAACTTGTATAAATAGTTGAAAAATATATTTAATAAAAAGCCTATTTTATTCTATCTAAAAACTATTTATAAACTTGACAATCCTCTGTGGTATTGATTCTGCAACTTAGTTACAAATGCTACACTGGAAAAATGACCTGACATACGTATGTGTAAAGGCGTAGTTACTCAGGTGTCAAGACGGGGTTTAACATTGAGTCCAGATACATATCACCATGTAACAAGTTCGTCTTAGCACCATGTGCCATGACCAGCTATACACATGTGTGGGGTCAAATAAAAATGCCGGGGATATAGTTCTTTAGCACTTTTGGTGTGTTGATCTGACTTGGGATATTGAAAAGAGTTTTTTGAAACCAAGGTTTTATTTTTATATGTTTTATATGGAGCTTTAAAGGTGGATAATATATTTATTTTCGATCTTGACACAGTAGTATAGTTCAACATTACACCTCTTCATTATCTTTTATATCCAATTAAATTCAATACTTGAGCAATTCTTTGGATTCTGAACCATAGTATAGTTCAATCGTTTTTATTTTAATTTCAGAAATTGTTTTATTGGTAAAAGTTTATAATAGTATTTATTTGGAAAGAACAGAATGTTTCTAGAACTATAACAATCTTATAGTATTGATTTATTGGATATCCGTTATTGCTTCTACTGGTTTGCTTGATACTGTTTGAATAAAATAATTATCTACAGAAAAGAAATACCTGAAAATATAAAAAGAAAGCAGACTGTTTGTTGAAATACAACAGTCTTTAAGAAGCATAGAAAAATTATTAGCTATGTGTGCTGGGTACTACATTTAATGTAGTATGCTTTTACATTTTGTGTACACTTTTATACTTACATTGTAAATATTGGAAAAGAGCAAGCAAAAAATAGATGTCAATATTGCTAATCCATGGTGTTCCTTATGATATCTTTCACTATAAAAACAACGAAAAACATTAATTTTTATGAATCAAATAAAATAATAAATAATTTACATACCAGTAGCAAGAATATATATTAACAGAGATAGATTGTCTTTGTAAACACTTGATAGAACTCTAGTGAAAAATAATAATATTTTATGTTAACATATTATAATATTAATATAACTAAAATAAAAAATAAAGTAGTGATCCTTACTATGTAATGTCATTTCCAGCTGTATAATGTAAGGGAAATCAAAGACGGGATCAACAATGTTCATCTATAATAAGACTTCATTTTAGTAAGATACATGTCAAAATAATATATATATATATATATACTACCTTGATGTTTTTAACCAAATTCATTTGTAGCAGTTATTCTTGATGATCAAGTCTGTAATAAAAAAAACAAGTCAGAAGAATTTTTATAGATGTCAATTTTGCAAAATATAATATTGACCTTTGTTAATCTGGACAGCGATTGTGAAATGAATGCATTTAAATGAGAGCAAACGAGTATCTATTATGATAATAAAAGAATATATTAATTTTTATTGTTTATAAAAAAGTATTTAATAAAGAAGTGTGTTACCAGAAAAAAAGCCACTAATATAATAATGACAAACGTTGGAAAAGAGGAAAGAAGCAGAAAAGAAGAAAGAAAAAGACGTAAATTTTTTTTCCGCGTTTGAAACAAAATACCAAAAAGCTTATCCAATAAACGATAGCAAAAAAAAACTGAAAAGAGGTGATCAATTGAGGTCAAAAAATGTATCAAGGCCGATTTGCATCTCAGTGTTTCAAGAAGTTGTCTTTGAAGTGTTCCTGAAGCATCACTACCGCCTATAAATACTTAATATTTCTACTTGCAATTCAATGTCACTCACTCTTGATTATATCATCTCAACAAATCTACGTTGCGAATTTATTGTAATTTACATAACAAAATAGATGGATTGTCTCTTACAAAAGAGAATAAAAAAGAAAAAGAACTAATATTAACAATTGAAAATATTATAATGTATTACAGATAATGCCTACCCCCCAACCGCAGACTCGCTCCTTCTCTTGCTAGCACTGATGTCCAGTTGCTACAAGCTTTGAATGCGATGAAAGAAGAGATGAAGGCCATGAAGGATAAGATCACATTGATGGATACAAGAATCGGTGCAGTGATCACCGGTAACACAACCGCCATTAATGGCATTGATGCCTTGTCTGCCCTCCCAGCATCTGCGCATGTGCCCACTAGTGTTGCATCCACTTCTGCTGCCCTTCCCATCACCAAATCAAGTGATACTAACGCTGTATTTGTAATTATAAAGATACAAAAGACACTTGCCAATCTTGTTGCTAATTAAAATATAATAGGGATACATTCATGATTATATGTGAAACCCAAAGCTAAAATCAAGAGACCAGGCAGAAATCCAAGCAAACGCCATAAAACCAAAGTGGGCAGTTGATGTTCGTTTTGATCGCTCTCCAAATAGAGAGTTAGTCAAACAACTCTTGTATTACTTGGAAAAGAAGTTTGCTGGCACTGATATGAGGACACGCGACCTTCGTAAGTGTATATATACAAACTTCTGTAGTAGACGTCGCCAGCAAAGGGAACTTCCAGAAACAAGACGAGCCTTGAATACTAATTCAAGAAGATCTGGCCGTGAAACTGACACTGTAGAAAAAAAAGTGCAAGTACTCGCAGAAATAATTGCATATCTGCAAAATCCATGTAACTTTGTAAAAATCATATCAATCTTACTAAATTTAGAGTGTTATAAGCCCCTTTTAGAAGCTGTGGACCCGCAATTAATCTTTTTTTCATGTGTTAAACTCAGTCGTCTATTTTAAGTGAGAAAAAAAAGACGACTGTTCTTTTTTGTTTACAATTTTGATCAAGGTTACAAATATAGCCAATCAATCAGATATACCGTTAATTTGCATTTTCTGGTGATGCGCAATTTTAAATAAAATGATAATGACAATCAACTTCGTTGAGTAATATCTGAATAAGACGAAAGGTTTATATACATTTATTAAAAAGAAAGAGGGAAAAAAAAGAAGAAGAAAAAACTACTGGTTGTGGGTCGGCAAGGGCCAGACGATATGTCTAATGGCCCCATCCTTAGTATCGTGAACGAGGCCAGCCATCCCCTTGAAGGACTTCACGTCTACTATCCTCATCTCGCCCTGCGAGTGGTTGCTCAAAACAGGGAAGAGCATGCCCAGCAAGGGCCTGACGTCAGAAAGACTCTCGGTGGCTGCAAAGAGCCTGGTCACTCCTTTGATAGTGTGGGAAAAAAATTTGTGAACAAATCCATAACTTTCAAAAAACATAATTAAATTATAACTAATATCGACTTTTAACAATGTAGAATATAACTAACAACACTTACTCCCACATATGTTTGAGCACAACAAGATTGTTAGCTCGAACATGTCTACTGTCAAAGGAGGACCAGACTCTGTAAACCACCAAGACTTTCCACATCTTCGTGGTGCAAACCACTGAGTCTTGTTCCTCAAAGGAGGAAACTCCTTCTCCTGCCCGGAAAGGCACCAACTGTTGGACGAGATCCTCCCATTCCATGCCAATGGTGTTGGCCAACTCAGCCATGCTATACCTGGTTGGACTGGACCACAGCTGAGGACCAGTAACATCATCACTTGCAACCTCGAAGTTGCTGGTCCTTCTGTCAGCTGGTCCAGTCCTGGCTGGACGGTTGCCGCGGCAGTGGCTGATGGCCGCCATCCGGAAAAGAACATTTTCCATGTTTTTTCCGGGCTCCTTCCTGGAATTGATCGCAGAGGTATAGGCTCCGATTGTGCGTTCTATCAGACGGCAGCTGTAAGCCCACAAAGGGCCCATTTCCCGCAACATGAAACCAAGATGAACCAGCATGTGCTGGTTCATCACGAATATGTTGGATTTCAGCTTACCGTCCGAAATCTTGCACCTTAGGAAGGAGTGCCAGTGGCCAATTGTCCTATAAAACTCATTAAAAACCGGATAGAAATATATATCTAAGTGACTTACTGCTCCACGGCAACAATGTCGCTGGTGGTGATACTCCATTGTTGGACAATGGAGCACGCCAGCACCAGGTCTCTCACAGCCTGCTTTGCATCTGCAAAGCAGAGGTGGTCGATTACCATGGTTGGTACAACAAACAAGAGGAAGTCCATCCAATTGACAGCCTTCCTCTTGCCATTCGATTCCTTCATCGACCTCCACGTACTGGTAAATGCCGTGGGTATATCTGCCCTGAATGTGCTGACTGCTTTTTCGATGTCATCTAGGCTAACATCCAGGGCAAAGGGGTACTCAAGTTGTTGCAGGCGTTCTTGGAGGTGCATTCCATGGGATTTTCTGCCCGGGCCTGCAGTCGCAGGGCAGAATTTGCCACCAAGGGCTTGATAGAGCTGGTGCCCTGTTCCATGACCTAGGAGGTGCATCTCGTCCTGGCCGAAGAAAGCAGAACTGGTGAGTGTGGGTAACTCTGCAAAGGCATTGTATCTCCTCCCATCAGGTCTCTAAAATGATGTTAGTGGTTTTTTTTGATATTTCATAACTTACACTTCATTCAGCTCTGCGAATACTCCCTACATCCCTCATAGGGGCAGGACCCTCGCTCTCCAGGAAGCACATGGTCTTGGTAATGCTTTCACCACGCGCAAAACAATGGCGGCAGCCGTATTGTACATTGTGATGCATAAGGTTCATCAAGTCAGAGACAGCTGGAGTATCTCCAGTTGCCATGACAAGATGAACCTTACGCACCACATACTGGTCTCCGTCCCAGCACTTCACTCCACTTGTCTGCAAGGCTCGCAGGTCAGCAAGGATGGGCTCCACAAACGAAGCAATGTTCTTTGGGTGCTTAGGCCCTGGGATGATGGCCAGCTGCATCATGTTACCCTTCTTGTACCTAAATATATTATTTTAGTATATATAAATATACATCTAAATCAATGTGTTTTATTTACCTTTCGGCAGGGTTGATATTCATGTTAATAACATGAATGATGCTAGCTGACATGGCAGCGTCCTTGAAGGGGTTGAACTGGTCAACAAACATAGACACCACCATGTCACCCTGGCCAACAATCCCACCTGCGAGCAGTCTATGGATGCCATCTCCATCAAGGATATCCTTATGGACATTCGATTGGCCACCAGCCAAAACCTCCATGCCATAGGTGATCTTTGCCCGTTCTTCAGGGTAAGCCAACTTGAAGCGTAATTGCTCTGAGAGAGGCACTACCTGGTTTGTCTGTACAGGTGATATAGTGCCTCTCTCACGCTGGTACCATGGTCCATTGCAGTGAGGGCACACCTCATTCTCAACAATTGAGTTTCCAGGCTCAAAATCAGGGAAACGAAAGCACCCACTGGCACACATGTCATACACCTGTGCCTTGACTGTGTATTCTTGCTTGAGCAAGGTATCCACCTTGTAATATGACAGAAGTGAATCCGTTTTAGCTAATACAATAGTAAGTATATGTAATATAGTAGATATGTAATAGTAATAAACTTACGGGATCCACGTTCTGTCATATACTTGTTTACAATCTTGACAGACTGATCGTAGATTTCACAAGAAACACTGTTCTCAAAAAACAAGGAGAACAACTCCAGACTAACGGCCTCAGCACTGCTGTTGGGAGTGTACATTGGTACAAACTGGTCGTACTCAATGTTGGCCTGCTCTGGTTCAGCTTGGGCTATTCCTTGCTTTTGGACACGTGTGAATCCAGGACCATTCTCTAATATATTTACACAGTTAATATTTAACATAAACATAATCATATGTAATAATGTTATTATTAACATTTTCTTTTAATTGTTCTTACCAGAGGTGTACTCCACCTCAACATTGCTGGAATTGGCTTCCATAGGAGAAGCGTCCTCTTCATCGGCCTCAACGTTATTAGTGGCAGCAGCCAAGAAACCATCAAAGTCAATTGAATCATCAACAGAGGCTTTATTGTTGATATCCATCATGTCGTAAGCTGGATAAGTGACATTGATATCCATTTGAGCGGGTTGTTGCTCAAAGAACGAATTGTCAAGCATATAACTGCTTGTTTCGTTTTTGGTAACAGGGTTAAGTAAGTCATTAATGTTCATTTTGAATTGTTGTTTTGTATTTTAAAAAAATAGGGGTGTAAGGTCGAAAAAACCACTTGGGATGTGATATTAATTTTTATTCCATCAGTTGACAGTGAAAAATTACAAGTGCGCTAATTATCATGAAATTTTTTTTAAAGGAATTCTGGCTTTTTGTTTTTTATTTTTCAGTTTTTCTTGTTGCTTTTGTTTAACTTCGTTTTTTTTTATATTTTACATCTTCTTTACAGTTCTAAAAATGTCATTGCTCGACATTGAGCAATTAAACCTTCGACTGGTGATGCTGGAGACAGCATATGCCCGGCTTGAGGCCAGGTTTGAGGCCAGGTTTGAGGCCAGGTTTGAGGCCAGGTTTGAGGCCAGGTTTGAGGGCAGTGAGGCCACCACTGAACAGCCCGTCCGAGGTAACTCTCCTGATGTGAACCGTTTGCAGCCGGTTGTTGGTGGCAACACCATCCCACGCCCTTCCCCCCAAGGACAATCTAACAGTTGGGTACTCTCAGCTGGGAGTGTTACTGCAGCCCTGGTATTACATTTTACCAGAGGTAACACCAAAGAAGCTCAGCTTCTTTACAGTGCCATTGGCAGACTTGCTCGCCAGCTTGTACAGATAACAATGTCACGCTACCATACAAATGGTATAGCTATACCATCGTGGGGTAGTCTTGCACCTAACCAGAGAAACATTCTGGTTAGAAACCTTGAGGAGAGAGCAGCCAGAAGAAATATTGCTCTTGATAGGTTTGAGAATTCCTGGGTGTTTATCTTTGTGCTTTCTCAGAGATGGAGAACTGCTGTCTCCAGTGGAAGACAGTAATAAAACGTAAGTTACTTTTAAATATAAAGCCATTTATAAGATCATAACTAATACAAATCAATTGTTTTGCTTTGTTTGTTTGCTTTTTATTTTATTATAGTAGACAATACTGAACTTTATAAGTGACATTTATAAAAAAACATAATAAAAATACTATTTTAAAAAAATTGTTATCGAGTAGAAAGTAATTTGGTATATGTCTTGTATACTTCTTCTATTGTCATTTGTTTGTTTGTTTGTTTGTTTTGTTTATTTTTGTTTTTTTGTATATTCCAGGGACCAAAAAATAAAACAAAAATAAAAATAAAAACTTATTTTTATGTGACGCAATGTGTATTATTTGACCAATTAGAGATCCAACAAATTTAACAAAAAAGGGTTAGTTAAAAGTAATACACAAGTCTAATTGGCTTGAGGATGCTGAACAGCACTCGATTGAGTTTAATGCTATGGAATTCCACAAATCCGATTGGCAAAGAGTAGTAACACTAACATTGTATCACCTTGTTTTTATTGGCTGAATCCATATCTGCAAGTATGCATTTTTTACATAGTAATCTGCATTGGCGGAATTACAAATGCTGTCATTTCCTATGGTGTGATGTAAACTATATTTTCAATTTATGCTAAATAATAACAATTAGAATATTAATTGTATTGTCTTTTTCCTTTAGAACTACACTCGCCGTCACCTTGCTTATGATGCTTACAAAGCTGGCATTGATCTCAAGATGGGTCGAAACTGCTCTGGACTGATCCAAAAGTCAGTCATGTCTGAAGGTGAATCAGACGATGATATGTCCCCCTCTCAGCCAAGAAATGAGATTCGTGTTGCTCGCCCAAGTTGGAGAAGTGACGAGGTAAAACCTAACAGTTTTCTTTTTTGAATGATGCCAGGCTGAATGTTAATATATGTTTATTACTTAGCTTAACAAATTCATTACGGAGGTTGACTCATTTGTTGTTAAGCAATTGGGTGCAAATTCCCGCCAACTGCTTAAGAGAGTTTATGGTAGAACAGTGGAATCAACAGTCCCAATTGATTTAGATCCTGCTCTACCTCAATGGGCTCTTAAATATGGGTCATAAATAAAACTCATTTTTTGTCGTTTTTTTTTCTTTTACTCTCAAAATTTCTTAACACATATGTATTGTTCGCAACATATATAATAGGACTACATTAGCTTATGTATTGAAATTTTTTATTAAAAAAGAAATGTATTAAATATTAATTGTATTGTTTGTGTGGTAAAGCGTTGACAAGTATTTTCTTATTATTTGTGCTGGTTTTATAATCACATGTTGCAACAACTGATGAAATTCGATGTACTGGCAAGATGCATTCAAAATCACACGCAATAAAATCTGCACTGCAGATGTCAACACTTTCCAACTCTCTTGAACGGTCATGCTCGATCTGGAACCACTTAACAAATGCAAACACGTGTTTATCTTGATAAACATCACGTGTTTGGAGCTCTGTGTTGTCTACTGGTGGAGTGAAAGTGTGCAAGAACAGATACTGAATTTGGCCAGTGTATGTCAACCGATTATTGCCTTGACTTCCAAGGAACAGAGATTGAACAAATGAGCCGCGACCAGAAGCATATTTGCAGCCTTTGTAAACCTGACCAAGCAAATTGATTGATTTCAACTTTATGATTTAGTTGTCAACAAAGGAGAATGGAGAGGAGGGATGCTGGTAACCTTCAAGATTTGGCATGCAGTATGCGACTTTATAGTAATCAAGCAAATGAGGATAGTCAACATCACTCATTGCTGATGGGGGTTTGATATGGAGAGGAAATGCGGATGGAGGAAGAGATTCATTGCCAAGGACTGGAAGAGAAGGGTTTGAGTATGCTTGGATGAAGGCTGATAGTCTGAACGGGCGCTGGGGAAAAGTTATTGTATTTTTTGAAGTGGAGGGTTGAGCTGTGGCAGTAAGCTTGGCGAGAAGAGGAAGAAACGGTACGTGGCTTGGGCATGTGAGAGCAGCATGAACGAAATCACCTTTGAATGTATCTTGGACGAAACTATTCATGTATGTAATTTCAAAGGAATCTTTTCTGTTTGTATTCACGTTCTTTAGCACACCATTATATCGCTCAAACCCGAAGAGCCAATATCCATATACTGGTCCAAGATCATGGATGGTCTCGCGAAGATGGAGATGTAAATGCATGTTACAGGTGAGAATAGTTAGAGTGTAAATACGCTGGCACTCAGTACAGAATTCTTGAAGAAATTTATGGCCGTCGTCAATGTCAGAGAACGTGATGCTTGGCTTTACTAATTGGCGGCAGGCATCAACAAAACTGATCCAATTTCTGAACATTTCAATTGGCAGGACGGCCTTCAACAAGATAGGCGAATACACTAGCACCCAGGACTTCCATTCATCAGCTTTTATGTATGGAAAGCCCTTTCCGATCTTCGATTTCAACACCACGTAATCCATTGGCACCACCATTGTCTCTGCCATTGTTTGCATTGTAGCTAGCTTTCTATCATCTATCAGTCCTTCTTTTATCCACCGCTCCATCATTCTCTTTGCTGTCCCCAGGAATAAATTATGCATGGAATCGATGATCGTTCCACATACTAGATCAAAGTATCCAAGGTGGTGCAGCTGCGACCATCGAACACCATTTTCGATTTCCAACTGATGCCTTTCTGAGGGCGTACTGGCACTCTTCCACTCCTCAGCATGCAACCTGTTTTCCAGACCGCTATGGATTTTCCACGTCAAATAGTCAAACCCACTGAAGTCGACCTGATTGGTGCTTGGTAACCTGGTAAACTGCCTCACACATCTGGGGCATGCAAAGTACTGTTGTGGGCGGTAAATCCACTGGTCTTCCTGGCGGCGGGGATGTCACAGGCAACCATATGTAATGCAGCACATACATTAACACCGGCTGGGCACTCAAAGGTCGGGATGGTTATCCCCATAAACAACTGCAGCAATTCATTGACTATTGGCTTTAAATAATGGTTGATCTCTTTGGTCTTTGGCTCCTTAGGACCAGGCATCAAACCAACAAGGATGACATTTTCAGGCTTAAATCTTTTCTCACGAGGCAAGTTATATATTGCAAGATAGATAGCTCCAGTTGAATATGTAACACCATCAAATGGCTGGAACCAGTCGATGTTCATTGTTAGCATCAATGAACGAGGTTCATCCACAAACAATATGCCACTTTGGTCCTTTAGCTCCTTCCACATAGCACCATCATAGACGTCGCATAGTGTATCTACGACCTTAAGCTCTTTGTTCCATTGTCTGATTTTTTGCTCGAACCCAGAACAAAGAAAGAAAACTTGTAATGATCTCTGGATAGAGTTGTAGACATATGATCGCTTGGCCACCATGGCACCAGAAGATGAAACCTTCATCAATTCACAATTGCATGCTGATTGAGAACCATGCTTTTTGAAGTCGCAATGAGTAGGGAGAGGCACATCTTGTTCGTAAACCTTGTGGCAGTCTTCACATACAACAGACTTCTTGATACCATTGGCGTAATTGGAAAATCCAGTCATTCTTTGCAGGCCAATAAGACTTGTTGGTAATTGGAAATCTTTGCCGTAGATCTTAAGTAACTGATTGATAAATTCAATCAATACGGCAGCACCTTTGTTAACAACATAACGTGAGATAAAAAGAATGGCAAAGGTAGCGATGAACTGATAGACAGGGTTTTCAAGCATGTTAGGAGCATCAAATGGGTCTATTTAAAATTAACAAAAATAAATTAGAACAAATTTTCTTTAGGTCTGTTTTTAAGAAAACAAAATCATTTATGACTGACCTTCATTAACAAACTCTTCAACGTCTGTCTCGACACCTTCTTCTTCACCACTGCCAGAGTCAGAGTTTATGTCTCTTTCAATGTCAGAGTCATTGCCATTGACCTCGCTGATCTCATCATCTACCGAGACATTGTCAGCCATTGTGGCGGCATTCGAATCAGGTGAGTTGGCCTGATCGTCTATTTTTTCAATGGATTCAGATTGACAGGTCGGGATATATACAAATATAGATTAGTTTAGCTTATTGTCTCTACTGCTTTTCAAATATTTTTTTTCTTTTCTTTTCTTACATTGGGTATCAACGTCTATCATTTGTTCTTCTTGCACAGCTGTGTTTCATTAAAATTAAAAAAATAAAGAAGTTATTACTCAGTAATCGAAAAATAAACCCTGAATATAACATACTATTTGCCAATCTTTCAGCCATATCCAGTCTCTCGATTCTCTCAAGCTCATCTTTTCTAATATGGCACTCAGCGGTTCTGCTTGTCACCAATGAGTATCCCTGTGAATTTCTGCTACATTGAGCACAATGGCAGACAACATTACGGCAGTGGGGGATAGAAGGCATTTTATGTGTTTTGTTTGACGTGATTTATTGAGAATAAAAAGAGAAACAAGCGTAAAATATACTTTATTTGCACCGACTTTATAGTAAAAAAAAGCATTATATTTTATGGTTGTTTAATTGAATTCTTCTAACAAGTTCTTTTCTATATTATTAAATATAGAAAGAGACATGACAATTATAATATTATCAATTCATAGTCTTTATTCAAATGTCTTCAAGAATGCCTGTTGTGTGTAAAAGACATATATTTTTCTACTATGAGTTTATAAATAGATTATTGTGAGAGTAAATCCAGAAAATAGTAGGAATAAAAAAAAGGGTGGTAGAATGAGAATTATGATAGGTCTCTGTATGTGAATTTAGCCTTCCATACCAGACTGATATTCTAAAATTCTGTTAGCCAATGAAACCAACTAAAACTACATCTTTGACCTGAACTTCAAAAAACACACTGAGTTGAAAAAAATCACTATTTCTACACATGTGTGTACCAACCTGGCCACATTGTTAATCAGGGCGGTTTTTCCAGTGCTAGAAAATAAATATCAGATTGAGACTTGACATTTTTGTTGTTACTGACATAGCACTGCAAAAGACTTCAAATTTGACAGTTTAATATAGTTTTATAAGTGTTCAATTTTCAAAAAAAATAATAAAATAAACATTATATTTTATTTTTAGTTGTAATTTCTAATCTGTTTTTTTAGCTGTAATTTCTAATCTGTTTTTTTAGCTGTAAAATTACATCAGCATCACTTTCCCTTCTGCATTTTACATATCTTCAATATCATTGTAAATTACACTCAAAAAAAATTATATAAAAAATATTATATATGTGGTATTTCAGGTACAAAACAATAGAAAAATAAAATATTTGATAATAGAGACGTATAGAAATACTTTGAGACTGTATATAAGTTGTCTTTATTCATAAATAAAAAGTGTCCCTTTTTATAAGAAAACACAATCTGCTCTTGTCATTACGTCTTAGTTTCTTAAGGCTTTCTTCCTTTACTATATTTGGTTATTAGAGTGTATTTACTGCTTAACTAGTGTCGGTGTTACAATTATGACATCAAGTCATAAATCGTACTTCTTTAGCTCTTAGCTATTCTTTTCTCTTTTATACTAGAGCTTTAGGACTTCCTACTAAATTAGCTCCATATCGATCTGACACAGTTTACCCGGCAGTATGATATAATTATCTTAACAATCTTTAAGATATTATCTACAGTACTAACTGTAATAATTATTGGGCTGATTACTTAATCGTTTATATATATTTTATACTGACAAGATGATAGCTACTACGCTATCCCAATATGAATATGTTCTTATATGTGATAAATCCAACATCCGAGTGTCTGGATCACCACAATATACTTAAAGAAAAGTAAATATTTTTTATATAATACTTCTTTTTTAGATAAAACCAGGGAAGTGGTGCTTCCCCCTCCCGCCTCCCTTTGGGGGGGGGGGGGGGTGGCAGAGTCTACCAGAAGTTAATATAAAACCCTTCCCTATTGGAAGTCTAAGTACCATATAGCATAATTAATAGGAACATTTTATTTCAGTGAGTTATATGAAAAGAAAGGATATGTATAAATGTTTTATTATTCAAAAGAAATTGGTTTGATGAGTTTATAGTGTATATTACAGTCAAAGCTCAATATAATGATATGGATGGTGCACAGAATTTTTTTTACTATCACTATATTGAGTGTGTTTTTTTCTTACTCAGTGCATTATTTAGTGATATTTCTAATGCTGCTGTGAGTGACTACTGTTTTCTAATAGGATTCATAGTATTTTATCTAAGAAAGTGAGCTTGCTTTAAAATGCTAAATAAAATATATACTACATTTATTTTTTTATACTACAGAAATAAACTCAGAGCTCAATATAGTGATACTATTCGATTCAAATTTTATCACTATCACTATATTGAATATCACTATATTAAGCTTTGACTGTATATATAATTTTTTACTTAATGTCAAAGACTTTCTTAAATACAACATTGTCTGCAAATACAGTATTTGCTATTTCATTGAAATTTGCTGATGTATTAAGCACTATCTTGATTGTAGAAGGTTTTCTGACCCGGGATAAAGTAACATACAGCTGGCCATGGGAGAATACTGTGGCAGAGGGATATAATCTAATGCTCTCAAGAGTTTGACCTTGTGACTTGTTTATTGTCATTGCAAATGCAAAATAAACTGGAAACTGGAACCGCTGGAATTCAATTTCACTATTTGATTCAGATGGATTAAGCTTTATTCTTGGAATAAGAGATACTTGCCCAGCATTGAATCTAGTCATAATTGTTGCTCTGATGACAGATGTTTCAAAAGAGTTCCAAATCAAATGTATATCATTACAGAAGTTGTTTTTTTGGTCAAGATTACAAAAAAACATGATAGAACATTCTTTTTTAAGGACAGTGATTGAGATGGTAGGGATCCAGAATCAATGATATTTAGTAGCTCAACTGGATATATCAACTGACCATCTTCATCAATTCCCTGGTCGATACTCTTAAGCTCTCATGCCTCTCCAGGAAACTGGCTGAGAAGAGTATCATTGCATTTGTTGACATCTTTATTCTTAAAAGTAAGCAAAGCATGGCTCATGAGAAAATGAGGGTTAGCTGCATTAGAGGAGAGATCACAGAAAACTGCTTTGGCCATATCAGCAGAATTACATTAAGAAAGTAGCATATGGGGCGGAATTGGAATGATATGATCACTGCCTGTTGTGTGGGCAGAACCACTACCAACTTGCAAGAGAAATGCTCCAAATTCCCTGAGCTTTAATGTTTCTTGTTCATTATTTGCTTGGGCAATTCGCATGTTTGTTGTAAGCTGCAAGATTTTTACATTTTCCCATATAGATGCTTTCTTGATACATTGGCTTACAATCTGAGCTTTTGTTGCCTTGGGTATAACAGAAAGAACCTGCCAAAAATCGCCTCCAAAGACAAACAACTTCCCTCCAAATGGAACGTTTTCAAGCAATGGATCGACAGCCTTCATTATATCTTACATGGATCTGCTTACAGTATTAAAAACATCTTTACTAATCATAGAAGCTTAGTCTCAGATAACCAATTCCGTTCTTCTAATAAGTTGTGCTAATTACAAGCTTGCATTGATGGAGCATAAGGAGTTAAGATTAACTTGCACTGGAATCTTAAACTGGAAATGTACTGTACACTCACTATCTAACAGCAATGGAGCAATTCCACTTGTTGCTACTGCAAGAGCAATTTTTTCTTGTTGGCGAGTTTTTTGAAGCAAGGCATTAAAGACAAATGTCTTTCCCATCCCACCTGGACCATTGACAACATACAATATTAAGGTTTTCACATTTTCTTCAATTGCACTTAATACTGTTGTATAGACACGTCTTTGTAAATTATTGAATGTCAATGTATCTGGATCTGGCAAAATTTGAGCTTGATTGCATAAATCTTCTTGTTCTTGTATGATGACTTATACATCTTGCCCATTTGGGCTAAAGCGCTGGATGTCAGACATTGGTGAAAGAACAAATCTAGTGAACAACATGAGAAACATAGAGTTGGCAGATAGATGACTTTTGATATCCCATAAACATTTGTCAAACATATCTTGTGTGGGGACTAATGCAGAAGTTCCACTACTTTCTCTTGCCAAATAAAGATAATCTTCAATCATAGAATCGCGATGAGCAAACCACAAAGAGAAAGGATCTGATACTGAACGGAAAACCAAAAGAATAGCAAAGAGTCTTTGTAAAAAAATGGGATCTGATGAGCTGCTGCCTCCTCTATACAGTTACTCCACTCATCATCGTTCAAAAGTAATTACAGAGCACGATATGCAGCTTGGTTTGTTTTATACATACATCCTTCTACTATACATATGTCTTCAAAGCCTTTGGTCCCTTTAACATTATGCAGCAGTAATCGTAACAGATATTTTTTAATATCTCTTGGAGACACTGTGTAAACTCTGCCAATTGTTTCTTTATCAAACCTCTTACATGCTGTCTATTTTCGTTCTTTTGTATTCCATACATAAAGATAAGGAAAGTCGACGTAAAGAAGTTTTTCAGATGATGAGTATGTAGCATTATAATCAAAATATCCCATTAACAGAGTGTTTTTTCTGGCATTTACAACATCTTCTGGGTTAGCAGATGGATTATAATATATGGGTTGGGCATTTTCCAGATGAATTGAAAGTCGTTGATGGCTGGGATACTCTTGATGAAGCTTGAAAGAAAATATTCTCCAGCATACTTCAGAAGCAGAGACATACCGAGTATCAAAAAACTTATTAACTTTGTTTGCATGCTCTTGTTGTTGTTGTGGGGCGGAATTGGTGGGTGTAGGCAGCACATGGGCCATTGCACAGGCATGTCCTTTATATACATACTTGTAGGGATATTTTAAGGCAGAAACAGAGATGCTAATCTTAACATTTATATGAGCATTATATTTTGCACATATGTATATATTATGTGAAATAACCCATCTATTATTCATGATCTTTGACTCTCTTCTTATAACTCTTCCATTTCGACTGCATTCATAAATATAATATTCGTTTCCACCATCACTAGTCTCATTGCAAAGCTTTTTAGAATAATTCTTTAAACAAATCCCATTCTTTATGCATGGTGCTTTAAAATATATTTTTTGCATAGATCATGCATCATACATTTTTTTACTGTTTTGTATGACAATAGCTCAGTTTCAGGATCTGGGATTTCAGCCAAAACTGTTCTGTCAAAATTTTCTATTGTTTTTGGTTTATCTTGTGGTCGCAAAATCAAAAGAATGTGGGCATGAGGAAGTCCCCACTTTTAGAATTTAATGATATAGATAAAGGTCAAAACTTTCCCCAGAATGTTTTTTTATAAGGTCAATCATGAGCTCTTTGAGCTTCATATTGAAAACCCAAGAACAAAGGTCTGATCTGTCATTAGCTTTTTGCTCAGCCAGTAGGGAATTTGTAATTTCTGACCACTTTGAATTGCAAGTGAAAGTTATGAGTAAATCAGGCTTGCCAAAACAACACATAACCCTCATTGAATCTTGATAAAGTTAAGCCATATACTGGGGGCTACCAATAAAAGAAGATGGAAGAATAACTCTCTTTCTAAGATTTGCAAGATTACAATTGTCATGAATAACAGCATTCTGAATTTCATTGTAGATCTACACGGAGACGATTTTGATTGCTAGTGATGAAGTACAGCTGATCGTGCTCAACTTTGGCATACATAGCAACAATATATTATTGAAAGAGATGGCCAAAACGATGGAGGACGTGCTGGGTGTTGCGTCAATACATCAAATGTTTTGAGTACTATTGCATTACTGTAACATGCTCTCCTGACAATGAGCTGGCATCAATGGTCTAACTATCTTCACTATGTGGAAAGAGTAGCACATAGTGTAAAGCATCGTAAGATCAGTGGAACTCATTGATGTTTTGTCAGAAGTTGGCTCTGGTGTGCAGCACAATGTCTCTTGAAGTACCCTCTTCATTATTCCTAATAAGAACTGCTTTTTCACTTGCAGTCGGAGCATTATACCGTCTTTGATCCCGAGGCCCCTCAGCTACTAAACGCAAAGTGAGATCCATAAATTGTCCCTTTTCCCAAGAAATTTGATCTATTGTTCTGAAGAGATGTATGAATGGATTTGTTTCCATAAGAATGGACCAAATCTTTTTCAAAACACTTCTTTCCAATTATAGGGAATAATACTGTCTTTGATCTATCTGAGCAGCACTATTATAAATATAGATTTGAGCAAATTTTGGGTGAACAATATCAGATTCTTTCACTGGCAAAATAAATCCAGTTCTATAAAAAATTATTCTATGAATCCGGAAGTTGTATGCCACATTGATATTGTTGCCAACAAAGATATTAATTTTAGCTCCCAAAAGATAAAGCTCATTGTGCTATTATAGCTTTAAATGTTTTCAAAAAACTTCTTTCTACCATATGTTCTATAGTTCAAAAGCTCAGCAATTTCTGTAGCTGTTGACTCAATTTTGGGGAGAACATGCTTTTTTTTTATAACACATAGAAAACACAGGGCTTCTTAAAGAAGAACAACTGTTTTTTTTATGTGCCCACATTATTGCCCTACAAAATTGACACTCAATATCCATATCTTCCCTGTTATCAACTGCTGGTTCTGAAATAGCTGGAAGTCAGGCAATATTATTCAAGTCTCTGTCTTGATTTCTAGATCCTTTTGCTCTGCTACTGTTATTGTTTGGACAGAATCTGTTTGTAATTTGGCAATGATCAGTTCTGTTACAGTGACAACAATGGAATAGAATTAATCCTCTATTCACAGTTGAAATCTCCTCGTCTTCTTCTTCTCTTCCAGCCACTTCTTTATTAGATGAAGTCTCCTCAATCTCTTTTTCCATGACTGCTTCAAGAACTTCAGTAATAGTCTCATTTGCGAGTAGAAATTCAGTCAATTTAGAAACTGAAATAGAAGTCAATATTTCTGTGTCCAAATTTTGGTCTTGGACAGGCTCACTTCTTATTCTCAAGGCAGCAGCTATTTCTTTATAGACACATTTATTATTAAAAAATATATATAATATTTGCATTAATACACATAAATGTATAAATAGTTACTTTGGCTACTTTCTGTAGAATATTTATCTATATTAGGTTTCTTTTGAGAAATGTGGAAAGAAATGTTCTTTTGGTTCACGAGACATTGCTTATGAGTACTTCTGCTATGTCCAAACATATGGCAAACAGCATAATGATGTTAAGTAGATGCCTTTTTATATTTTGGTTTTTTTTTCAAATTTAGAGTTTGATTTGATAGTTATATAAGTTTTTTGGCAATAGTTTGTAAAATAAATTCAAGAGGTTAATATCTTTGTATATCATATGACATAGTAAAAGTGCTAAATTTTAGATGTGATAGATGTTTTACAGACAAATTCATATATCATATGATGCTGCTAATTTTGATTGATTTTAGATATATAGGCGGAGTATACTGGCATCCCCAGTGAGACTTCATTAAGAAGAAGTAATCATACTATAAAAAAGAAAAAACCATTTGTCTGAGTTTATTTGGATTTTGATATTATAAAGATTTATTGTAGTAATAAAAATAAAATAATAGTAAGGAATATATCTTGCAGCCATATTTTTTGGGGGGTTTGTATTTTGATATTTTCAAAAAGAAAAAAACGTTATATATTGGCATATATATAATTGGTATTGACAATTTAAAAAAATTATTAAAATATTTGAAAAAAAGTAAAAAAAAACGTAAAGATAAAAATAAAGATAAGCATAAGCATAAACATAAGCATAAGGAGAAATAATGTGAATACAAAAAATACAAAAATAAAAATAAAGCATATAAAAAAAAATTGACATATTTCAATAAAGACATAGGGCAGAAAGCATATGATATGAAACAGATTGGTTAATTTCTAGAGAGCACTTTATTATAAATAACATTGTTTATATAGACATTGCTGGTTGCTTCAGTAGAAATACTGCCCATATCAACCATGATTTTTACTGAGTTTGGAGTTCGGATCTGAGAGAGAGCAACATACACTGCAAAAACACCTTAAAATAATTGAATTCCACTTACCTGGAATTATCGATAATAGTAGCCAAAAAATTACAACCCAGGTCATTTCCTGTATTTAGCAGTGAGAATATATTTAAAGACATATCATTGGCCTAATATATATCAGAGTCCCTGAGAGAATTTTTTCAAAATAATAAAGACAATTATAATAAGCAACGGCTGTTACACACTTCCTTTATTATTAAAAAAAATTAAGTGAAAAAATGTTTTCCATTGCCAATCCCGATGAAGTTCATTGCAAATGCACAAGATGCAATCGCAATCCTCTTGGATACACTATGACAGATAAAAGAACTGCCAAGCGTCATGCCCAGAATGATAATGACAGGAATATGGATAAAACCATTAATGGTAAATTAAGTTATCAATTTTTCATTTATTTATATGATGTATTCTAATTCATTAGAACAAACAGTTTTGACAGCCAAAGTAAACACTGGTGAAGCTGATATGGACGTAGATCAAATTGAAGAACATATTGAATGTAATAGTATTTTATTTTTTATACCCAATGCGCACTCTATTTAAACTCAGTACCAATAGATGATAATTACTCCGATGGTGCACCCTCACCAGAGCAGTATGTCAATACCCACTTACCTCTTTTGGTGGAAGAATCTCTTTTTGAAACAGAGGAGTATACCTCAGAGTATGAGTCTGAATATGAGTCATCGGATGAATTTGAGCAAGAAGAACAGAACAGAGAGCAAGAACAGGGTAAATATTAAAAATAAACTATGATTGAAGAAAAAAGGTTTGAATTAAAGAAACAAAAAATTAATATTATTTTATGATAACTTACAGAGTCTACAGAAAACCTTCCAGAGAATATTTGGCATTGAGTAATTGCGGTTTTCACTGTGATATTTATTTCTAGCTTCATTGTGGATGAAGGCGCAGTAATTTTGATTACATTCATAAATACAATCCTTGAACATTATGGAGAGGATTTCCGACTTCCCACAAGCATTCCGGGTTTGAGGAAAATGACAGGATACAATGACTTGACAAACGGCGTATCAAAATATGTAGCATGCAGTAATTGTCACACATTGTACGATTACAGCAACAACACACATACATTCTGCAATTTCAAAAGAGTTGGTAGTAAGACGCATTGTAAGAATGATCTCTACAAGTCTAGTATGAAGAACGCCATGATTCCAAAGTGCACATTTGTTTATAACTCGTTGACAACTACCTTGAAAAAAATGTTTACACGTCCTTCTTTTGAGAGTATGATCAACAGATGGAATCGTGAACCAAAAGTCGACGGTACTTTATTCGATGTATATGATGGAAAGATGTGGAACGAATTAGTGGATGAGGATGGTGTCCAGTTTGTTTCGAAGGAACGATCATTACTATTGACACTGAACATTGATTGGTTTCAACCATTTGATGGAGTAACATATTCTTGTGGTGCGATATACCTGACAATTAACAATCTGCCGAGAGAAGAGTGGAACAAGGCAGAAAATGTCATTCTTGTTGGATTGATGCCTGGACCTAAAGAAGCAAGCACCGACGAGATCAATAACTATTTGCGTCCTCTTGTTGATGAACTTATGCTATTGTATAAAGGTATCACAACTGATACATATAACTGCTCAGGTGCTCTGGTGCGTGCCGCTCTGTTGATGGTTGCATGCGACATCCCTGCTGCAAGGAAGACGTGTGGGTTTACATCTCACAACAGCACATGTGCATGCTACAAATGCAATCGTCAGTTTGCTCGTATTGATGGTACCAATGCTGTAAACTATTTTGGGCTTAAGTTTTCGGAATGGGTAGACCGCACAAAAGAAGAAAATCGCAGACATGCAAACCTGTGGAAGAATGCAAAGACATTGACATAGAGAAAGCGATTGGAGATTGAGAATGGTGTTCGTTGGTCTGAGCTTCATCGACTTGTATACTTTGAGCCAGTGCGTGCAACCATTATCGATCCCATGCACAACCTTTTTCTCGGGACTGCAAAACGAATGATGGATATTTGGATTGCAACCAATTTGCTTGATGACAAAGATTTGGTAGAGATGCAGGAAGAGGCTAATAGAATGGTACTCCCTGTAGGGTATACGACTCTGAAGATAAAGATTGGAAAGAAATTTCCGTTTATGAAAGCAGATGAGTGGAAATCATGGTGCCTGATATACTCTCCTGTTCTGCTTAAGACACGCCTGCGAGATGATCTGCTTGGCAATTGGATCCATTTTGTCGATGCATGCAGAGAATTGACGAAGCCAAGTATCACCAAAAATGGGATCAAAAAAGCTCACGAAAGTTTGGAGGAGTTCTGTGTTGGTTGTGAAGACTTTTATAAACCAGATGTATTCACGCAAAACATGCATCTCCATCTCCATCTAAAAGAAACGATTGAGGACTTTGGGCCAATTTACGGATTTTGGCTATTTAGCTTTGAACGCTATAATGGTGTATTGAAAGGGTTTGAGACAAACCAGAAGAGTGGGTTCGAGAATACCTACATGAAAAGGTTTCTTGAGAGTTCTTACAATGGTGACTTTTGTCAAGCGCATCTCAGAAATGTTACCAGCCCTTTACTCCTCTCTCTCTTTCTCAAGCTGTCTGGTTGTAAAATCTATAATCCTGCACTTTCGCCACATCCTTTGATACCGTCATTCTTTCACTTGCCAACGTTCCTACAATCCACTGAAAAGCCTTCAAAGCAAACATTTGGCAACGAATCTCTACCTCTTTCTGCTCTACCATTGTGTTTGAAGCCACCAACAACAAGGAGAAAATCCGAGTATGATTGTCGGCTCGATTTCTATAAAATTGAGTATGACGATGCTTCTCTTTGCAGTGCCAAGACAACAATCAGGAATTGTTGGTTTGTGAATGACCGAATCCAGAAGATTTCGTCCATCAATCTTCTTGGACAAGTTTACACAGGTGGAGAAGGTTTGGTCGTGAGAGGATCGCATATACAAGCGAAATTTATTGAAAAAAGTGGAGACTCTGAGGAAAGATATGCTGGTCGTATTAAGTACTTGTTCTTGCACGATTTTACACCAAACCTCACGCACACCAACCTTTTCCCTTGTCACAACCCCCAACACGTATTTGCCTTCGTTGAGTGGTACAAAATTCCTTGCCATCAATCTAGAATCAAGCAGGGCATTGAGTTGTATGAGCCAGAATTTCTGAAGTATGACTACGACAACATTCTGCCTGTCCACCGCATCTTGTCGCCAATTGCAATTGGAAGTCATGTGTCTGGTAGTGGTGCAGCAAAAGTTGTTGTTATTCCTCTGCCAAGAAAGCTGTACGCTTAATAAAATACTCTATCTTTTTTTTAAAATAATAATAATAATATAAAACATAGTTCATAGACATAAAAAGAGATGTGATAAAGAGTGCAACTAAAAAGACAGAAATTTTATTATATGCGTTTTGACCACGTAGGCATTTTTGTGACCAAGCCACGAGGAATTGTCTCGTGTACTAACACATGACTCCGCGACTTCAACTGCGTTGCTCTTTTTCCCAAGTCATCTCTGGCGAGCTCATCAAGAAAGTCAAACACGGTATTCAACTATAAATGTATATATACATCAGGAATCAAACAACAAAAAAACCGTTTTATATAAAACATTACCTCATCACTACGCCAACCAGGACGAGATGCAACAACAGAAGTATCGGTTTCTGTCTCATCACCAGACATTGCATCTCTGTAAAAAACGCCATTATAATCCCAATTAAACTTTTCAGTAATGGCATCCTTATGCTTTGTGTACATTCTTTTTCTCCTTTTATTAAGCTATGAGATATATAATATTTTAAGTATACTTGTCAAAATTGAATTATTATAAATAGAAATGCTTACAGCAGTCTTTCTATTTCCTCTTCTGTTTGAGGTAGTGTTTGTCTGTCTGTCTTCTTCAGTAAGCTTACTAGCAGTCAAGCGATTGTAATAGCTGTTTACAATTATACCACATAGCTCTTTTGGTGATACCATGGCTGCTACAGGTTGACAACAAATGTAAAGCATCAAATCACTTGCAAGATTCTTGTTAAACTTGTCAGACAAACCAACATTGACATCCCAAGTTGGTTTATCATCATTCTCTTTGATCAACTCCAAATCATCTGTCTTAAGATTAATATCTCTTAACCGCCCCCAAATAATACTCTATTAAAGGTATATTGATGTTAGATTTAAAGGGAGATTGTTTTTATAATTTTAGTATTTGAGCTCACTGAGATCTTTGGGTGTCTTGAGCTGCTTATGATGTTCTGAGGATCCATATCAGAATCCAGAACGGCTTGCATGCCAGTCGATTGAGCACCCACCTGGCATTGTACTGTTCAAATAGTCAGTCTATTGGAAAACAATATAGTTTGTGTTTAATTACCTTTCAATTCACTAACATCGGAACTAACGGCTGTCATTTTGTCATTGAGTGTAGCGAGAAGACTGACTACATCATTAAACTCTGACACTGGATTGACATATTTTCTGGTCTAGGAGCAATCATTGGATTTGACGATTCTATACGCCCAGTGTTGACTGCGTTGATCAATGGCCTAGATGTTGATCCATTGGTACGTGCGTTCTGGTTGATGTTAGTTCTTGGAGCCATTATCTGTATTTTTATATAATAAAATAATAAGTTTCTGGTATATATTGCTTGATATTTCTATTTTAATAAATTTTTAAGAGAGTACTTTACACGTAAAGAATTGTAGAGTAATTGAGTGATTAAACAATTATGTTAATGATTAAGCGAGCAAGTTGAGCAAGTGTATGAGTGTGTAAATACTTCTTTATTTAAATGATCAAGGAGATCGAAATATATTATTTTGAAAAAAATTGAGCTAGAAAACAACTTCTTTAGGTATATAGTAAGTAACAATTGTTTTATGAAACATATAAAGCTATAATTAGTAGACAATTTTTTTTTCAAAGTAAGAGAAACAGTCTAATAGCTTTTTCAGGGTCTACGGCTTTTTCAAACACTGTTTTTTATTTTCCCACCTTTTTCTGTTTTTCTCTACTCTTTAATAATATTAATAAAAATAACACTCTTTTAATCCTACTATGTTTCACTTTAGGCACCCTTAATATATACATATGATGCAGGTGTCTTTCATTATACAAGAGGTACTTTACTATTAAATATATCATTATTTTACTAACTATAAATTACTTTAAATAGCCATTACATATATTTCTCTGATATAACCGGTGCAGACAAAAAAAAAACACAAAAACATATTGGTGGCATGTATGTATATATCTATATCAACATCTTCTTCCCAGTATTAAAAACAATATCTAACATCTACTTTAAATATAGCTCACCCTTGATTTACATATGGTCAGTAAAAACAAATCATTTAAAGAATATAAGGGTACGTGTTATTCATTTTATTATTGTGTTGTTTTTATTTTGTTTTGTTTTTTTATATCAGCATTCTCACTCTCCTTTTTTATAGTTGAAATGGTTCTTCACATTCTTATATGACTGGTACTCAAGGACAAGACATGTTACTTTAGTAAATATGTATGTATATGTTTTATATTCCTTTCTTTGTAATATATACTTGAATGACGCATTGGCTCGTAGCTTTTGATAATATAAATCTGTGTTTTATTCCATTATTAACAAATTATTCTAACGGTATGTAAGTATCTTTCTACTCTCTTTAATCAAATAGCTTCAGTAAGCATATATACTCACTATCCAAGTTTATTAATTCAAAAAATTCTGAAACAAAATTTATAAGAAGTACAATATAACAGATTAGTGTATTTAATAGTAATACTATATAGAATTCTTATTATTGCCAAAAAAAAAAGGCTTTTTTTATCCAAAATAAAAACAAATAAAAAACCATTTTTCAAAACAAAACAATATCCAATTGAGTAACTCGTGCTTAGCATTTGCACCTGTGAGAATTTTTTCTTCGATTCATTTAGCCAATAAACATTAAAGAAGTGCCCTGTTATTACGCCTGTTATTACAAAAACAAGGCCTACATCAAATTACAGGTTTAATCAGCGGTAGATAATACATTGTTCTGCATTTGGAATAGTCTATATAATTGATCCCCGAGAACAGTTGATATACAGACATTATACCTAAACTCCCAGTTTTTATTTTTGGAATAAGATAATATTCAATTATTTTTGACACTTTATTCAATAACTTGTCAACTATGATTTCCTTAATATTTACGAGTAATTCATTTTTATGTGACAAAATATCCCAATAATCAAAACCTATTATTATAATAATTCCCAATGGTTTTTGCAGTGATACAACTGCCCGTGACCAAAGACATGGTTGGGAAGGTACAGACCAACTTTGTCAAGGGTCTGGCCTTGGGACTTGTTGATAGTCATGTCAAAGACAAGGCAGACTGGAAATTGACTTTGCTTGAACTCAATGAACATGGTTGATCCAGTTGAGTTCAGCTTGATTCTGGGAATGAACACCATCTTTCCAGTGCTTGATCTAGTTACAGTAGTAGCCTTGATAACATATCTGCCAAAGTCATTGCATATAAGGCAGGTACCATTGCAGAGGCCATTCTTGGGGTCCAGATTCCTCAGTAGCATAATGGGACATTCTTTTTTGAGACGTAGAGAATGAGGAGGCAAAGATCCAGGGTTGAGAGTGTTGAGCAGTTCAATTGGGTAGCTCAATCGATCATCTTTGCTGAGACCTTTGTCAATACTCTTGAACATGATTTCTTGTCCAGAGAACAGTCTAATAAAGATGTTATTAATCTTCCTAACTTCTGCATTCTTTGGGGTCAAGATTGCAGGGCCCATAAGGAAGCTGGGACTGGTGGAATTATTAAGAAGATCAGAAAAGATTGCACTGGCCAGGTGATTAAGATTAAGGCCATGAAGAAGCATGTGTAGTGGAATGAGAAAGACGTCTTTACCACCAGTCGTCCAAAGACTGCCATTGCCAACAGTCAAGAGAAGGGTAGCAAACGCATTAAGCTGTGCCATTTCCTGTGAGTTGGTAGACTCAGCAATATGCATGTTTCTTGTAAGTCTCATGTGGTGAACAAAGCTTCAGAGACGTGCTTTCTTGATGCACTGGGAAACAATCTGGGCTTTGTTTCCTTGTGGAATGACTGGAAGCACCTGACAAAAGTCACCACCAAAAATGAGCAGCTTGCCACCAAAAGGAACAGACTCGAGCAAGGGGTTAACCAACTTCATGACATCTTGAATGGAACGGTTGACAGCATTAATAAGATCCTTGCTGACCATAGAGATGTCATCCCAAACAACAAACTCTGTTTTCTTGATTAACTTTGCTACCTCAGAGTTGACAGGAATGGAACACATAGAGTCAGTGTTGATGTCAAGGAAAATCTTGAACCTGGAATGAGCAGTTTGGCCACCATCCAAAAGCAAAGCTGCAATTCCACTGATAGCTATTGCAAGAGCAATCTTGTCTTGTTGACGGACTTTTCTGAGTATGGCATTGAATAAAAAGATCTTTCCAGTACCACCTGGTCTATCAAAAAAATATAATGACTGCAAAAATATACTAATTTTGCATATGTACAGCATATATTAGTTCCGAGGGACAGAAAAAATAGAATTGTCACTCAGCTCTTTTTTTGTAATTAAAGCAGTTAAATATTATTTGTGGTAATTTTATTGGCTATGGAAAGCTATGTATCATTAGAAAGCAGCACTGTTGTATCCAACATAATCGTAGATTTAAATTAAAAGTACAGACACTCAATAAATACGTACATTGAGTTACCAACAACTAGTAACAATACTAAAAGATATACCTTCCCTTATACAAGGAAATTACGTAAAGAACATACTAAGACAAATACTAAGACTCTAGTCAATAACACTAAAAACATAAGAACTAAATCATAGAAGATAATGGTAGAGAAACAGACATTACATGATATCATCATATCATCACCAAGCTAAATACAATGTCTATATAAACGCACAATACTAATAGCAATAGAACAGCATCTCTTTTCTGATTCTTTCACTTCTTCTAATAAAACAAAGTCTCACTGTACTCTCGTCTGCACTTGTTTTATTTTATATCTTATTTTTACCTCATACATAACAAGCACTAAACACAAATAAAATAAAACAAAATAAATCTTTAAAATTTTTTCCTTTACTTTTAAATACTATTATAAACATTTGGCTTTTATTCAAAATGATTCCTATCTACCAAAAGACTGCTCAAAAGCAGTGTAAATGCACTACCTGTAAAAATAAAGATAGAGAATATGATTTTGTATCTGCTAGAACATTTAAGTGTTATCAAGAAAAAGATATTCAGGATAATACACTTATTCAAGTGTATAGAATTGATTCATTTACTTTATTTTATATAATAATAATAGTTTAGCCCTTGAAGATATGCAAGAGGCAGCTATTTGGGAGACTGTCAAGACTATAAATTGCAATAAAGATATGTTTGAGATTGAGCAGCAAGACATTGAAGTATATTCCATGTTTGAAGATAAGACAGCTTTATTATATTTTGATGATTTATTTGGGTCTAAAATTCCTTTTTGGTAGACTTGAATGACATTGACAGTAAATTGGATACACCAACAAGAAACTTATCTTTATCTGAATCTGACAATAGGCGTTTACAAAGTTGTGGTTGACTGATTTTTACCAGTCCACTGCCCTAATTTTTGCTCACTGCTTATAGTAACCGCTGAGATTGTAAAAGCCAGTCACTTGAAATCTGTTACACGTAATATGATCACTTTACTAAAATACTATCTGCTTATCCCTTTAACTCTCTCTATCTATAATTATAAATAACAACAACAACAATTAACTCATTACCTACAATGAAATGCATGTTCTTTTGGAGCTCCGTAAACAAAGTCTTAAAAATATTTGTGATGCCTTCAAAAAAGAACATGATGAAGATAATGTAAATGACCAAGTACTTGAAGAATTCAATAAGAAAAGACAAAGGGACGAAGAAGAGTTAAACGACATGTGTATGGTTTTTCAAAGAGAACTGGTCAACCAAAAGATGAAAATCTTACAGTTGACAAACTATGACATCTTCTTCTGCATATATATACAATGGTAGCTTTGAACATATTCAGGCAACATCTACAGGAAGAAGAATTAATCGACTCAGAAAGGAAACAATCTGGTGGGGTATCACGCACCCAAGTTTGAGTGACACTTCTCACATAGATGATATTAGAAGAGAAGTCAAAGAAAGTACGTTCAAGGAGTACTACCACATTATCTTGTCTACTTTCAAGACACTAATGAACATTCTTTTGGGAACTGAGCCGTACAGAAGATGTGATGAAAGTGAACTGGCTTGTTCTGTGTGGAAACAGGTGGCAGTTGTTCTCTGGAGATTTTCTAACACTCACCTTGGATATAGAATAGCGAAGGACAAGTTTGGGTGTAGCCATGGAAGCTACAACAATTTCACTGACCAGTTTATTCTTGCCATGAGCTCAATTGTAATTGACAATGTCATTATCTGACCAAACACAATTGAACAAACCCTAGAGATCATAACAGGGTTCAGACAACCAACAAAAAATGGCAAACAAAGATTAAAAGAAGTAATTGATGCCATGAATGGAAAGCTAATTTCCATTGAAAAACCAACTACTGCTAACTCTGATGACAGTTATGCAGATTGCAAAGAAAATATCAGCATAAATTTGACGACCGTTTGTGATTATAAAAAAACATTTATTCACATTGCAACTAGTACACCTGGTAATTACATTAAATGTGATTTTTTCATGTGATATTTAGCAAACCTTTGTAATATATTAGGCAGTCTTTGTGATAATCGTGTGTTAAAGTTGGGTGATCTTTATCAGGATCTGATTCACTGAGAACCAAAGACATGTCTGGAAAACACGTACATAATTGCTGGTAGATTGATGATCATATTTATACAAAATGGTTTTTTTTAAAATTCATTATGTTCCTAGATTCCGCGTATCTACTGTTACTTCAACTTTTGACACTGTTTATTGCTGCCTGAGGATGTAGATCCAAAAACCAAGAAACTGTTCCACTTACCCCAGAGCAGAAACTATATAATGCAGTACAGTCCAGAACTCAACAAAAGATTGAAAACACATTCTCACTCTTGGTGCTAAGAAGGAAATTTCTGTACAAGCACCTTTATGTGAAGGATGTTGAAAGTCTGACTCAAGCAATCATGGTATGCTGTGTTTTACACAACTTGTGTATAGATGCTGATAATACATGGGAACTTGAAGAGAATTAAGATGACAATATCTTGGGAATTTTTCAAAATTCAGATAATGAGGATGGTGCTGTATTTGGGCTGGGAGAAGAAGATAATACTAATCCAGTTATGTTTGAAAAAGTGCTTAATACACTTTTAGCTCGACTGAAGACTGGTGGTGAACAACAACAACTGGCAGTAATGAATTCTCTTTAAAAATAAAAGCTATTGATTTAATATTTTTATTGATTATTATTAGATCTAGACTGGAGAAACTGTGCTAAGAGGTCATTTGATTGTCTCTGTTCAGCAACAATAACATTGTCTCGTAACTGTTTATACTGCAATTCATTTATAAGAGCCTTGGTAAACTCATGCATAAGTTTCCTGTCTCCCTCATCTCTTGCTCATTTGGCCACTCTTTGCTCAGGTGTCCCAAGCAACTGACTGATGAAGACATCGTGCTCTGCGACCACTTCATCTTGCATTTCCTTATGCAAACAGATGATAGTGCTCAGAATTTCATTTACACTAGCAGGATAACCACTTCTTTCAGTTAACAGCTAAGTGGTTGTTAAACTCTCCTCATCCTTATTGTCACTGATAACAGAATGAAGATCACTGGCATGATTGTCATTGGTGTTGGTGCTGGTGTTGGTGTCGTTGGAAACTACAACTTCCGAGAGGACTTTAATTTCTCTTCTACCATCTCCAAAGATGTTTTCCTGAACAATACGCCCATTACTCAAGATTGTGGTCATGCTTGTTGATCTTGATGTTCTTGATTGACCAAAGTTCCAAGGGTAAACACTGGGATTATTGATCAAGATCTCTTTCATCTGATTGAAGAAAGCTCATGCAGAGGCATCACAGCTTCTTGCACAACCAGTTTTGCATCTATCACAATCAGCGCATAGCTTATAGGTCTTTGTCAAGCCCTTGAACTTTTTGCCACATTTACCACCGTCAATTTTATTTTTAAAGTAATTGTCATTAAGATCCTTAAACTTGTTGACCAGATCTTTCCAGATTTTTCCTTTCAAAGAGCTATTGTTTTTTGCTCTTAGAATTTTGGTGTAGATGTCATTGTCCAAGATCACCTTCAGGAACAGTACAATATGTTGATCTGTTTTTCACAGATTGTTGCAACCATCATTTGCTGCTGTAGTAGAGATTGACTCTGGACTCAAGTTGCTTTCTTTGCCAGTGTCACTTTCTGGGGCTTCGTTGACCTCCAGTTTGCCAAGTCCTCTTGCTTCAGGATCTGTCACATTTGAAGCAGTGTCCTGATTTTGGTTTGGCAGAGGCAAGTCATTGGTAACAGGAGTTGTAACTTCAAAAAATTTGAAAGTACGCATGTTGTAAGATAAAGTCAAAAAGTATTGATTAAAGAAAGAAGTAAATGTTTGAGAAATAAATTGTTATCTCAAAATAAAGGAAGTCAAGTCTGTTATAACTTAAAATTTTTTGTCAATTAAGATTTTCTTAGAAGGAGCGAGATTTAGTGCATCCCCTGTCTTTTGCTGGGGATGCACTTAAATCTGTTGCCCATTTTTGGAAAAAAAATTGGTCGACCACAACTATGTGAATGTCTAATATGTTTGGTAATGAAGTAAATGCATTTTATGTCATTGACAGTCTTGAGGATGAAGAGTCTGAAAATGAAATGACTGATGATAAAATAAGTAATGATAAAGGTTTATATAGATTAATAGAATATTGGTTTCTAAAAAATAAAAGATAGTTAATTAATATTTTTTTAAAAAAATGTAGATGATTCTTTAAAATCAATCTTGGAATTGAATTTGCTTCACCGGTTCATTGTTATTTCTGTTGCCCTTTTTGTGACTTTGTACATTATAGATAAAGGAGCTGTAATTCTGATTGCAATATTCAACAAAATTCTTCGATTTTTATTTGATCCATTCTGCCTTCCTGTAAGTGTTTCTGGGCTCAAAAGATTAGCAAAATTTAATGCTTTGACAAATGGGATCAAAAAGTATATTAACTGCAGTAAATGCCATATCATTTATGAAAATAACAATACTTCTCCTATTTGTTGTACATTGCCTGTGTTTGGAAAACACTCTCTGTGTGGCAACAGCTTATTCAAGACTGGGTTTGGGTCAATAGTACCAAAAAAGACATTTGTATTTCACTCAGTCAAAAAAGCATTGAAGACATTCTTCCAGTGCCCTAATTTCGAAAACAATATCAATTCGTGGAACTGCGGCCCAAAAATAGAGAATACTCTGTTTGATGTGTATGATGAGACAATGTGGAATGAGCTTGTAGATGTAGATGGAATTCTTTTTCTTGATACTGCGCGGTCCCTTATGCTCACATTAAATATTGACTAGTTTCAGCCATTTGATAGTGTGACCTATTCCTGTGGTGTAATATATCTTGCAATGAATAATCTCCCACGCAGTGAATGGTTCAAAAAAGAGAATGTAATCCTTGTTAGGTTAATGTCTGGACCAAAAGAAGCGAGTACATCAGATATCAACCATTATCTCAAGCCCCTTGTTGAAGAGTTAAAGGAGTTGTATACAGGCATGAATATCAAGACTCATCAATGTCCAAATGGTACCAATATCTGAACAGCCCTTCTCATGATTGCCTGTTATATACCGGCTGCAAGGAAGGTATGTGAATTTATATCCCATACAAGTACAAATGTGTGCCACTTGTATAAACATCAATTTTCCAGGTTAGCTGGAAAGAGTTCTGTTGATTATTCAGGGTTTGATTTCTCAAAGTGGCATCTACGCACTAATAATGACAATTGTAAGGATGCAGAGATCTGGAGAAATGCAACCAAGCCAACTGAGAGACAGTGTCTTGAAGTTGCATATGGTATTTGCTGGTCAAAACTGCAGCATCTTCAGTACTTTGACATTGTCTACTGCATGATCATTGATCCCATGCACAATCTTTTCTTAGACACTGCCAAAAGAATGAGGGAGAGATGGATTGCAGATGGATTAATTGACAATAAAAAACTTGTTGTCATGCAAAAGACTGTTGAGAAGGTAGTGTTGCCACCCGATTACACATCACTTGGGACAAAGATTGCAAAGGGATTTCCCTATATGAAGGCTGATGAGTGGAAGTCTTGGTGCCTTGTGTAGTCTCCTGTGGTTCTAAGGGATATGTTGCCATTGCCAGAGTTCAAGAAATGGATAGAGTCTGTTAACGCATACAGATACTTCACTAAGCCTAGTGTTTTTGAAGAAAATATCAAGAATGGACATAAATGCCTGGAGAAATTTTGTAATGAATGCGAGACAGTATAAAACCTGGACCTTCTTTCTCCCAACATGCATTTGCATTTACATCTTAAAAAACACTTACTGACTTTGGGCTAGTTTATGAATATTATCTTTTCAGCTTTGAAAGATATAACAGCATTTTGAAAAACATCAAGACCAACCAACAAAATGACTTTGAATCAATATCCATGAAACAATTCATTGAAGAATCATGAAAGGGAGATTTTATTTGCCGCATTTTGAAACCTTTGCATGCACTAGAATGTTTTGACATTTTTGATAAGCTCTCCAACAACAATGCAACCTATCTCTCTCACTCTTTCTTAATTTCTGAATGTCTGGAAGCTTCTCGTAACTTGTCAGTCTCAATTTGTAGAAATGAGCCCCTGCCACCATCTGCCTTGCCTTTGCAAACAAAGTCCCTGTTGATAATGCCAAAAAATCAGTATGATTGTCTTGTAGAATTTTACCAAGTTGCCTACAGCAATTCTTAGATCACAAGCTGCGAAGACATTATTGATGACTCACCTTTCGTCAATGACTGGATCAAAATGGTGAAGTTCATTAATTTTTTTGGTCAGACCTACAAAGGATGCATTGGCACAAATGGCCAAGGATCATATGTACAAGCATACTTTACTGAACGAACTGGGTTGGAACATGTGTATGTTGGAGAGATTCAGTACCTTTTTATTTACAACTTTGGCCCAAATGTTTCTTCTCTAACATGCAGAAATCCCCAAAGTAGTCAGCATGTATTTGCATTTGACAAATAGTTTAAAACCACCTCTGATAAAACAAGAGAATTGGAAGGAGTCGAGTTGTTGCGAGATGAACTCTACAAGGCAGATTTCCAAAGCATTTTGCCTGTACATCGGATTCTCATGACAGTTGCAATAGTAGATTACAAAACTATCAGAAACGTCAACAAAAAACTTGCGATTCCTTTACCTAAAAAAATTACTATTAATTGTCATATACACACTTATTTATATATTTATTATCTATTAATACTATTATTATTATTATTATTATTATTTCTACTCATTCAATTCACTTTTAATTATTATTTATTTGTACAAAGCTGGAATATAGTAAGAAAGAAAATGTTTATTCATTGTTTATTGCCCAATGAGGCAATGACTGAGAGAGGCTGGTGGGAACAGAGCAAGGCAACACTGTTTTTTGATATCTTTTTATTCTTGGCTCTGTTCTCACATCTGCATTTTGCAAGTCACAGTCTGCTGCAATGTCATCAACAATTGCCAACAATCTGTTGAACTGTATTTACTTTTATTAGCTCTTTATTTTTCTTGTTTTAAATCTTATTTATTTATTCTAAATATTATTTACCTCGTCACTTCTCCAAGTAGAGCAAGCTACATGTAACACCTGTTCTGGTTTGCCATCCTTAACCTCAGTATTTGATTCACTATCAGACATGCCCTCTTTCTTAAATTGTCTGAGATAGATCTTCTCAGCAGAGTTTCCAGCCTTAAACCCTATTACAGAATCAACAGCTACTCAGTTACTGTTATATGTGCACTTGCGTCATGTACACATCTAGATTTATATATTAAAACATGAGAAAATGATAATATATTTAATCTAATTCTTGTATCAAATACAAATCTGGTCAGTATGGCTGTTTGCTTTCCCTTTACTTCTCGTAGCAGCCTTTTGTTTATCTGTCATATGAGTTTTACAATGGTAATACTTGTAATTGTTTTTGATTTTATTAACTACAAACTTATGGGAAACCCCATTTGCATACAATTGTATAAGGATACAGCTTTTGAGTTACTTGATAACCGCAACATTATCAGGGTGGTTGATTTTCACATTCTTGTTCCACTTCTTTTTGCTTTCATTATCAGCAACAAGTACAGGGTCATCGGACTGGAAGTTTGCTTTCCATATTGTTGCCTTCAGAATTTCCTAAATATGGCTTGTTTAATAAAATATTGGCATCTAGTATCACTACGGGAAAAAATGGCGGTTTTTTGCTTTTGTGACTATGTTTTCGGCCTATAATAATTAAAAAATCACTAAAAATCCAATTTGAAACTAGAAAATCTCTGTTTTTTGAAAAGGTTGACAAAAAGCAAATTGACCACCTAAAATTAAATCTCCTGATAGACAAAAGTAAGCTTTAACTACAGACTTTACATTTTTAGTAAATGTAGATTGCATTTGATGACTATTAAAAGTCAGAAGAAAAAGAGAAGAAAATATCTAAACTTTCTGCTGAGAAAATAAAATATGTTAAGACAATTTGAAAAAAAAAATGTATTACAAAAAAAAAACAAATTATAAGTCTGCAAGAGAACCAAGTGACAATTTTGGGCCGCGGTTAAGCTCTGGCCACACTATGTATGTTGTTGTTGTTGTTGTATTTATAGTTGCGTCCGACTTCACCAAACCAACCAATTCTTTGACATCTGCCAGGTGAACTACCTTTGGCTTCATTTGCCCATTGTTAACAACTGGTATACCATTTACCAAACGGACTGCTGCAATCTCTACAAGAGCAAGCGGCCATCTCTTGTTGTTGAGCTTGTGCTCAAAGAAGACAACAACTTTTCCGAAGAAATCCTTGTAAACTGGGGAGTATGCAGAATTTATGTTGCGGTTTTCATCAACCTGAATCTGTAATCTGATGTTATGTGCCTCCCTTACACAATTTTGGTCGAGTGCAGAGTCAATCACACAACCATTGACAAATGCCTTGCGGCTAGTTTGTATAGCTGCTTCAATCATACTACACTCTTCCCCCTTTGATTTGTAGAAGTCTTCAAGAAGTTTCGAAAGACAAGAAATGCCTTCAAAACTATCTCGGATCGTTCTATTCCTCAAAGGCCCCCAGAACTCAATATCAGACCCAGCACCAACACGCTCACCCTCATCTGTCAATGGCCAACCAGCAGTGGAATCTTCATATTGTAAGTGTCGTGCTGTTCTTTCTTCTGTAATCATGACAGTGGCTCCGGCCTCTGCTTGTTGTATTTGTGCTAAGCCAAGCATTATATTGCCAGTGTTAACATTTATAGCAGAATTACTCTTGATAGCCCTTAAGTATTCACCAATTGCCTGTTCCACGGATCTGGCACTATATTCACGAGGTGGGCCATATGCATCAATCATAAGAGGATAGTGCTGAAGAAGATGCTGGTTTATAGTGAAAATATTGATTTTGATTTTTCCACTTGTAAGCAGTGATTCCAGGTATATGTTCCATATTTCAAGTTTACTGAAGAAAAATAGTTAGAATAAATAATAGAATAACACATAACTTTTACTAAAATATACCTTTTGATAGAGGTCTGTTCCTCTGCTGATAACTCCCAGCTCATGAGTGGGTTATATGCTTGAACCAAGCCAAGTAACACATTCCAGGCAGTTGCATCTCCAATACGCTCTGCCACCAGCATAGAGACAACAAACAGAAGAAAGTCTGCCCAATCGACGGCCTTGAACGACCCGGGGTTCTTGTATACATCTCTCCAATCGCCATGGAAGGATGTAGGGATGGTATTTCTTGTTTTGTACATTGCTGTACCGATCTCCTTCTGAACACCAGAAGAAAGAGCAAAACAATGGTCTGTTCCATAGGTACCAGAAACCAAACCCCAGATCTGCTTGCTTATTCCATGGCAAAGTCCATGCATCTCATCGAGGGCAAAAAACAATGGTCCAGAGAATACCTTTAATGTTGCCAGGGGGGATTGTCCGTTTAACCCTTTGCGGCTGGATGCACTGGCCTGGGAAAAATTCTGGAAACTTTCCAGCGTACGGATATTGGTGCTGGGCAAAGTTCTGAAGTATTGTCCGTGCTTGGGACATTGGCCGACAACATGACAGATACGGCAACCATCTTTGCTCATATGTCCAGAATGACATGCCAACTTTGCTAAGGTGGGAATGTCACCAGTGACCATTAAGACATGTACCTTGGCACAAATGGTCTCGTTTGGTGTCTTGACGACCATCTCTTCACTCTCCAACACCAGGAGCTCTTTCATTGTTGGTTCCATGAACGACCAGAAATTGGCAGGTGCACCTGGACCTGGGATCATTGCGATCTGGAGCATTCTGCTTCTCTCATACCGGACCATGGGATTCAGGTTAAGAATGGTGGCATGGAGAATCGTTACAGAACCAGGAACATTGTGTGGCGTGAATCCATCAACAGACAACGAAATTGCAATGTCATCTTTTCCGGAAAACAGATGTTTTACTTGCTGGTAAACCTGGCCATCAAACACATCGGTTTTACTTCCATCCGAGCTTGGCTCATGATTATGGCAGTAATGCATATCTGCTCTTGTATTCTTGTTGGCTAACGCAAGAGCCAGTTGTCTCGCCAATGGAAGCTGTATCATCGTGGCAGCAGCAACCAGATCACCACCCTCGGTTTCTCCGCGTCTTGTTTTGTACCGGCTTTGTCCACAGTTGGAGCACTCAGTCTGGGATGGACTGGTAAAGAGCATACATCCCCTCTGACAGATATCATGGACTGTCTCTTCAACACCCAAGAAACGCTTCAAAAGCTTTTTGCCAAGATGGGGAGTACATGCTCTGTATGTAATACAAGTCGACGTTTCCAAAATGCTGTTGAAATGCTTGACTATCATTTCATGAGCATTGCGGGAGATACCAAAATCCTTAATGATCTTGAGAAACTCAAGGTTCTTTGCATCGTCTTTGTCAGGGGTAGGTGCAGGCTGACTGAAGTCAAAAACCAAAGGAGATGTTTCGTTTTCAATGATATCCATGTCGTTGCCAAGTTCTGCATCATACTTTAACAAGGTAAATAATAATTAGCATTATATAATAAGACATATATATATATCTTACCATAGACTCATCATTGTCATCATTACTGAAGATATTCATAATTGGATCATCGTTATCTTCGCTGTTGAGTGTATCCATGATCTGATCTTCGATTGCATCAGCACGTTCTCTGCTTGTTTATGAAGATAACAATATAATTAATTACACTTTCTAATAGTATGTATGTGATTTGTAGTCTTACTCGATAGTGTCGTTCGAGACAGTGTTCAAAACAACACTGACTTGTCCAGGAACAGGCGTGGTCTGTGAAGTCTGGATATCATTATGTCTTCTATGACGGTTCTTAAAGCATTGAGCTCTACAACTCTTGGCTTTTTTTAAATTGGTGTGGCGCTCTTTGCATTGATTGCATTGGTAACTATCAAGGATTGAATTTGAAGACATTTTTTAGGTTGGAAATAAACACTTAAGAATAAAGATATGAATATTGATAATTCCTTTTAAATAATATGCCTTTATACTTAATAGCGTTGAGATTTGTATAGACTTAATGACTACAAGTAGGCAATGACATAGATGATACAAATATAAACTCAGGAACAGAAGCTAAAACATTGCATAATAGCTGTTATTAGAACTACAGTAGCCCAATAATAATATTGGTTGGACCAATAGATTAAACTCATTTATATGAAACTAATAATAGACAATAGAAAATTTTTTCGGCCTTTATCTTTCTTTCACAACAATCCTTTTTCTCAGGTAAACCAAACTTTCAACATGAATAAAACAGATAACAATTCCATCTCTTTGCTACATGCCATGTACAATGAGATACTATCTTTGAAGGCAGGCCAAGAAAAGGCCAAACTTGAAATGAAGGCACAGATCGAAGAGTTGAAGCTCGAAATGAAGACAAGCATCGAAGATTTGAATTTGGAGATTACTGCTCTCCAGAGCCAACTGGAGAATAGAAACATTTCCAACCAACACACTTCGCCTTCTGTCTCTGCCATTGTAAGACAAAAAATAAAACGAGTTGAATATATATTAATATGTCATTGAATAGTCTAGTGCTAATACCATCCGCAAACCGGTGAGCATATTCCGTGAAATAACTTTAAAGCATATCTTCAAGATGATAAGTGAAGACCTTGGCATTGAAGTAACAAGTAACGAAAAGGCCACACTCAATATGTGTACAAAGCTTATATGTGATGATATGGCTGCCCATCCTTCAGTGATCGCTCTTGGTCCTAATCCTAGCTGGGGGTCTATACCAGTAGCACTTAAGAAAGAAATGTGTGCCAGGCACGCAAATATAATGAAGGATTCTGGTATAGACTTCACTAGATGTCTCAGAAACTGGGCATTAACTGCAAGAGTTGCACATCTCTGGAGGGACCGCCATAAAAGATTACAGTCTTGTAAGTAATCTGGTGTAGTGGAATTGAATAGGATATTTTACTATGAAAACCTAGAATATTAAATAGTAAATAGCCAATAAAATGTATCTTTAGATTTTTTTATGCTTTAACAGCCAATAAAATAAACAATATTATTTATTTTTCTGTCATAATAACCAGTAAAATGAGCAATATGATTTTTTTTCTGTCATAACAACCAATAAAAATGATTAATAAAAATGATTTTCTATTGTAATAACCAATAAAAATTTGTATTTATTAAAATGATCAAACACTTACATGTATATTATCCAATAAAAAACTGTTTTCATAAAAGTAACATTAAAAAAAAATTACTAGTGTCCAATAGAATTCCTTTCTAAGCTAAAATATTAAAGTAATAAATGACATTTAAGAGAGTACCCAATAAAAGTAATCGATTATATAATATACTTTATACAATAAAGAATGAAACGCTGTCCAATAGAAGAGCCAACAAAGGAGAATCAGAAAGCGGAGATCTGTAATATGTATTTAAACTCCAGGGGGGCAAAGTGGATATTTGGCAAAAAACCGCCACAAAGCCGCCTTGTCAAACCGCCATAAAGCAGCCATAAAACCCCACTTTTTTTTCCCGTAGTGTATATATAAATATCTATTACCAAAATAACCGCAGTCGTTTCAGCATCACTAAGAGAGGGTGGAAGGGCAGAATATGTCATCAAAGATGATCCTACACTAGCTATGCAGACCTGGTCATTGGCATAGGCTTTGGCAAATTCAACATAAGCCATATTTGTCTTTCCAGACATGCCAACCAATACTCCAAGCTTGTTTTTGAAAGTAGTCATGTTGGTGTTGATAATAGCAATGTCACTCTTAACACCTTCAATGTTTGTGTTGACTTTGTTAAACATGTCAACGATATCCATATATCTCTAGTCTTGGTTAGTAATCAGTGGGAGACTTGGGGCAATTTCACAAGGCAAAACATAGCCAGCCAAAACACGACTGGTGGAAGTAGATGCACTTGTACTTGCATTTGCTTTCCCTTTTTCTTTGCGGTCTGACTTTTTACTATTATTCAAAGGCATTTTCTTTATTGTACTTTGATTATATTTTAAATATTAATAAATTATAAAAATAAATATGTAGTTTGAATTATATTTATTTCTGCTTAGCTAAAGATATACATACAGAATAAGGGGATGTAGAGTAGACTTATAAGATTGTCAAAAAAAAGGGGGTTTATAATTTATTGAATACAAATGTTCTTGTTATATCTGGGTTTAATTTGGAGAAGAGACGAAGAAATAAAGTGAGACTTTGTATAGTGGTTTTATTGAGAAAGAAAAAGAGAGAGTTGGTATTGGTTAAGATAGTGTTCTTACTATAACAGTTATGCTTTTTTTATAAGGCTTCTTTACTCTCAGGTCCATATTTATCATTGGCTCCTAAGATTAATGCTGTGTTTTTGATAGGACTTATTTTATAAAAATCTATATGACTGTCAAATAAAACAGCCCTTTATAATCTTGAGCAACTTCTTTAATATATAACACAAGAATGAGTAGTATTATTTATTTTGAGTCAGACTTATTTTACTTTCACTTTTTTTTAAAGTTTGTTATAATTTAAACTATTTGTTTTTTTTAAAAAAATCTTAGGTTTCTTCCTTTTCTTTTATTTTTTCATATTTTCTTTTTTTCCTGTTTCTCTTCCACTTTATTTACATTTCTCCGATTGATATATTTGAGTCCACATCCTGGTAAGCAATTTGTTATTTATTATTCTTTTGTTATATTTACTCTTAATTTTTTTTCTTTATTATTATTGTAGTTGCTAATACTATTACAAGTCTCACTGCAAAAACCATTGGGAATTATTATAATAATAGGTTTTGATTATCGGGATATTTTGTCACATAAAAATGAATTACTCGTAAATATTAAGGAAATTATAGTTGACAAGTTATTGAATAAAGTGTCAAAAATAATTGAATATTATCTTATTCCAAAAATAAAAACCGGGAGTTTAGGTATAATGTCTGTGTATCAACTGTTCTTGGGAATCAATTATATAGACTATTCCAAATGCAGAACAATGTATTATCTACCGCTGATTACACCTGTAATTTGATGCAGGCCTTGTCTTTGTAATAACAGGCGTAATAACAGGGCACTTCTTTAATGTTTATTGGCTAAAGGAATCGAAGAAAAATTCTCACAGGTGCAAATGCTAAGCACGAGTCTCTCAATTGGATATTGTTCTGTTTTGAAAAATGATTTTTTTATTTGTTTTTATTTTGGATAAAAAAAGCCTTTTTGTTGGCAATAATAAGGATTCTATATAGTATTACTATTTAATACACTAATCTATTATATTGTACTTCTTGTAAATTTTGTTTCAGAATTTTTTGAATTAATAAACTCGGATAGTGAGTATATATGCTTACTGAAGCTATTTGATTAAAGGGAGTAGAAAGATACTTACATACTGTTAGAATAATTTGTTAATAATGGAATAAAACACAGATTTATATTATCAAAAGCTACAAGCCAATGCGTCATTCAAGTATATATTACAAAGAAAGGAATATAAAACATATACATACATATTTACTAAAGGAACATGTCTTGTCCTTGAGTACCGGTCATATAAGAATGTGAAGAACCATTTCAACTATAAAAAAGGAGAGTGAGAATGCTGATATAAAAAAACAAAACAAAATAAAAACAACACAATAATAAAATGAATAACATGTACCCTTATATTCTTTAAATGATTTGTTTTTACTGACTATATGTAAATCAAGGGTGAGCTATATTTAAAGTAGATGTTAGATATTGTTTTTAATACTGGGAAGAAGATGTTGATATAGATATATACGTACATGCCACCAATATGTTTTTGTGTTTCTTTTGTCTACACTGGTTATATCAGAGAAATATATGTAATGGCTATTTAAAGTAATTTATAGTTAGTAAAATAATGATATATTTAATGGTAAAGTACCTCTTGTATAATGAAAGACACCTGTATCATATGTATATATTAAGGGTGCCTAAAGTGAAACATAGTAGGATTAAAAGAGTATTATTTTTATTAATATTATTAAAGAGTAGAGAAAAACAGAAAAAGGCGGGAAAATAAAAAACAGTGTTTGAAAAAGCCGTAGACCCTGAAAAAGTTATTAGACTGTTTCTCTTACTTTGAAAAAAAAATTGTCTACTAATTATAGCTTTATATGTTTTATAAAACAATTGTTACTTACTATATACCTAAAGAAGTTGTTTTCTAGCTCAATTTTTTTCAAAATAATATATTTCGATCTCCTTGATCATTTAAATAAAGAAGTATTTACACACTCATACACTTGCTCAACTTGCTCGCTTAATTATTAGCATAATTGTTTAATCACTCAATTACTCTACAATTCTTTACGTGTAAAGTACTCTCTTAAAAATTTATTAAAATAGAAATATCAAGCAATATATATCAGAAACTTATTATTTTATTATATAAAAATGCAGATAATGGCTCCAAGAACTAACATCAACCAGAACGCACATACCAATAGATCAACATCTAGGCCATTGATCAACGCAGTCAACACTGGGCGTATAGAATCGTCAAATCCAATGATTGCTCCTAGACCAGAAAATATGTCAATTCCAGTGTCAGAGTTTAATGATGTAGTCAGTCTTCTCGCTACACTCAATGACAAAATGACAGCTGTTAGTTCCGATGTTAGTGAATTGAAAGGTAATTAAACACAAACTATATTATTTTCCAATAGACTGACTATTTGAACAGTACAATGCCAGGTGGGTGCTCAATCGACTGGCATGCAAGCCGTTCTGGATTCTGATATGGATCCTCAGAACATCATAAGCAGCTCAAGACACCCAAAGATCTCAGTGAGCTCAAATACTAAAATTATAAAAACAATCTCCCTTTAAATCGAACATCAATATACCTTTAATAGAGTATTATTTGGGGGCGGTTAAGAGATATTAATCTTAAGACAGATGATTTGGAGTTGATCAAAGAGAATGATGATAAACCAACTTGGGATGTCAATGTTGGTTTGTCTGACAAGTTTAACAAGAATCTTGCAAGTGATTTGATGCTTTACATTTGTTGTCAACCTGTAGCAGCCATGGTATCACCAAAAGAGCTATGTGGTATAATTGTAAACAGCTATTACAATCGCTTGACTGCTAGTAAGCTTACTGAAGAAGACAGACAGACAAACACTACCTCAAACAGAAGAGGAAATAGAAAGACTGCTGTAAGCATTTCTATTTATAATAATTCAATTTTGACAAGTATACTTAAAATATTATATATCTCATAGCTTAATAAAAGGAGAAAAAAAATGTACACAAAGCATAAGGATGCCATTACTGAAAAGTTTAATTGGGATTATAATGGCGTTTTTTACAGAGATGCAATGTCTGGTGATGAGACAGAAACCGATACTTCTGTTGTTGCATCTCGTCCTGGTTGGCGTAGTGATGAGGTAATGTTTTATATAAAACGGTTTTTTTGTTGTTTGATTCCTGATGTATATATACATTTATAGTTGAATACCGTGTTTGACTTTCTTGATGAGCTCGCCAGAGATGACTTGGGAAAAAGAGCAACGCAGTTGAAGTTGCGGAGTCATGTGTTAGTACACGAGACAATTCCTCGTGGCTTGGTCACAAAAATGCCTACGTGGTCAAAACGCATATAATAAAATTTCTGTCTTTTTAGTTGCACTCTTTATCACATCTCTTTTTATGTCTATGAACTATGTTTTATATTATTATTATTATTTTAAAAAAAAGATAGAGTATTTTATTAAGCGTACAGCTTTCTTGGCAGAGGAATAACAACAACTTTTGCTGCACCACTACCAGACACATGACTTCCAATTGCAATTGGCGACAAGATGCGGTGGACAGGCAGAATGTTGTCGTAGTCATACTTCAGAAATTCTGGCTCATACAACTCAATGCCCTGCTTGATTCTAGATTGATGGCAAGGAATTTTGTACCACTCAACGAAGGCAAATACGTGTTGGGGGTTGTGACAAGGGAAAAGGTTGGTGTGCGTGAGGTTTGGTGTAAAATCGTGCAAGAACAAGTACTTAATACGACCAGCATATCTTTCCTCAGAGTCTCCACTTTTTTCAATAAATTTCGCTTGTATATGCGATCCTCTCACGACCAAACCTTCTCCACCTGTGTAAACTTGTCCAAGAAGATTGATGGACGAAATCTTCTGGATTCGGTCATTCACAAACCAACAATTCCTGATTGTTGTCTTGGCACTGCAAAGAGAATCATCGTCATACTCAATTTTATAGAAATCGAGCCGACAATCATACTCGGATTTTCTCATTGTTGTTGGTGGCTTCAAACACAATGGTAGAGCAGAAAGAGGTAGAGATTCGTTGCCAAATGTTTGCTTTGAAGGCTTTTCAGTGGATTGTAGGAACGTTGGCAAGTGAAAGAATGACGGTATCAAAGGATGTGGCGAAAGTGCAGGATTATAGATTTTACAACCAGACAGCTTGAGAAAGAGAGAGAGGAGTAAAGGGCTGGTAACATTTCTGAGATGCGCTTGACAAAAGTCACCATTGTAAGAACTCTCAAGAAACCTTTTCATGTAGGTATTCTCGAACCCACTCTTCTGGTTTGTCTCAAACCCTTTCAATACACCATTATAGCATTCAAAGCTAAATAGCCAAAATCCGTAAATTGGCCCAAAGTCCTCAATCGTTTCTTTTAGATGGAGATGGAGATGCATGTTTTGCGTGAATACATCTGGTTTATAAAAGTCTTCACAACCAACACAGAACTCCTCCAAACTTTCGTGAGCTTTTTTGATCCCATTTTTGGTGATACTTGGCTTCGTCAATTCTCTGCATGCATCGACAAAATGGATCCAATTGCCAAGCAGATCATCTCGCAGGCGTGTCTTAAGCAGAACAGGAGAGTATATCAGGCACCATGATTTCCACTCATCTGCTTTCATAAACGGAAATTTCTTTCCAATCTTTATCTTCAGAGTCGTATACCCTACAGGGAGTACCATTCTATTAGCCTCTTCCTGCATCTCTACCAAATCTTTGTCATCAAGCAAATTGGTTGCAATCCAAATATCCATCATTCGTTTTGCAGTCCCGAGAAAAAGGTTGTGCATGGGATCGATAATGGTTGCACGCACTGGCTCAAAGTATACAAGTCGATGAAGCTCAGACCAACGAACACCATTCTCAATCTCCAATCGCTTTCTCTATGTCAATGTCTTTGCATTCTTCCACAGGTTTGCATGTCTGCGATTTTCTTCTTTTGTGCGGTCTACCCATTCCGAAAACTTAAGCCCAAAATAGTTTACAGCATTGGTACCATCAATACGAGCAAACTGACGATTGCATTTGTAGCATGCACATGTGCTGTTGTGAGATGTAAACCCACACGTCTTCCTTGCAGCAGGGATGTCGCATGCAACCATCAACAGAGCGGCATGCACCAGAGCACCTGAGCAGTTATATGTATCAGTTGTGATACCTTTATACAATAGCATAAGTTCATCAACAAGAGGACGCAAATAGTTATTGATCTCGTCGGTGCTTGCTTCTTTAGGTCCAGGCATCAATCCAACAAGAATGACATTTTCTGCCTTGTTCCACTCTTCTCTCGGCAGATTGTTAATTGTCAGGTATATCGCACCACAAGAATATGTTACTCCATCAAATGGTTGAAACCAATCAATGTTCAGTGTCAATAGTAATGATCGTTCCTTCAAAACAAACTGGACACCATCCTCATCCACTAATTCGTTCCACATCTTTCCATCATATACATCGAATAAAGTACCGTCAACTTTTGGTTCACGATTCCATCTGTTGATCATACTCTCAAAAGAAGGACGTGTAAACATTTTTTTCAAGGTAGTTGTCAACAAGTTATAAACAAATGTGCACTTTGGAATCATGGTGTTCTTCATACTAGACTTGTAGAGATCATTCTTACAATGCGTCTTACTACCAACTCTTTTGAAATTGCAGGATGTATGTGTGTTGTTGCTGTAATTGTACAATGTGTGACAATTACTGCATGCTACATATTTTGATATGCCGTTTGTCAAGTCATTGTATCCTGTTATTTTCCTCAAACCCGGAATGCTTGTGGGAAGTCAGAAATCCTCTCCATAATGTTCGAGGATTGTATTTATGAATGTAATCAAAATTATTGCGCCTTCATCCACAATGAAGCTAGAAATAAATATCACAGTGAAAACCGCAATTACTCGATGCCAAATATTCTCTGAAAGGTTTTCTGTAGACTCTGTAAGTTATCATAAAATAATATTAATTTTTTGTTTCTTTAATTCAAATCTTTTTTCTTCAATCATAGTTTATTTTTAATATTTACCCTGTTCTTGCTCTCTGTTCTGTTCTTCTTGCTCAAATTCATCTGACGACTCATATTCAGACTCATACTCTGAGGTATGCTCCTCTGTTTCAAAAAGAGATTCTTCCACCAAAAGAGGTAAGTTGGTATTGACATACTGCTCTGGTGAGGGTGCACCAACAGAGTAATTATCATCTATTGGTACCAAGTTTAAATAGAGTGCGCATTGGGTATAAAAAATAAAATACTATTACATTCAATATGTTCTTCAATTTGATCTACGTCTATATCAGCTTCACCAGTGTTTACTTTGGCTGTCAAAACTATTTGTTCTAATGGATTAGAATACATCATATAAATAAATGAAAAATTGATAACTTAATTTACCATTAATGGTTTTATCCATATTCCTGTCATTATCATTCTGGGCATGACGCTTGGCAGTTCTTTTATCTGTCATGGTGTATCTGAGATGATTGCGATTGCATCTTGTGCATTTGCAACGAACTTCATCGGGATTGGCAATGGCAAACATTTTTTCACTTAATTTTTTTAATAATAAAGGAAGTGTGTAACAGCCGTTGCTTATTATAATTGTCTTTATTATTTTGAAAAAATTCTCTCAGGGACTCTGATATATATTAGGCCAATGATATGTCTTTAAATATATTCTCGCTGCTAAACACAGGAAATGACCTGGGTTGTAATTTTTTGGCTACTGTTATCGATAATTCCAGGTAAGTGGAATTCAATTATTTTAAGGTGTTTTTGCAGTGTCTATGCCGTGTTGCTTAACAGACAAGAATAAAAAGATAAAACATGGTTATTATATATGTGTCTATTTATTAATAATTTTCTCTTTCTCTCATCAGCTCATTAACTCATCAGTTCATTATAAGGACATACCAACATTAGAAATTTATCTGATAAATCTGAATAATATATTTCTTTATTTTATTCTTATATCTAATTTTGTTTATTTTCGATCTCTGTTAGTACTGCTAGC